TATCTAAGTGTTAAATTGTACGGTACACATGTTCAAAATTAACATAATCTGTTTTCAGAATCCGTTTATACCCCCCCCCCCGGTCGAAATTACTAGATCTGCCTATGTTCATGGTATATGTTAAAAATTTAAGATTTTGAAAGAAGACGATTATAAAAAAAAAACATATATTAAGAGTTTATATAGATAGTTTTCGATAGGCCTGAATTTAGCGAAAGTTACCTCCCGTTGGCCGCCATATTGGAGGTCGACTCAGTGATTTTCCCTCTTTGTCTTACCAAGTTTTAGAAAATATAGCAGAAATATTTGGTGGAAAATCTTTATCAAATAATTTTTTTTAAATAAAGGAGGCTTCCAAAAATTTATATACTTCAGAAAAATAATGATTTATAATTCAAAATAGCAAACATAAAATTTTTAAATTGGTTGAACAATGAAGGAATATGAGCATTTGGACCTCCAGTATGGCGGCCAACGGGAAGTAACTCTTGGTCAATCGAAAACTATCTATATGTTATAACATTTATTTGAATGATTGGAAACTTAATTCGTAGCACGCGACGTCAAAATACGTTCTTACTGAATAACGACGATACCGATTTGAAACTTTGACCTTAAGGTCATATGCAACATACTTTGAACTTTATTGAGCTCTTCCCTGGAGTTGAATTATACTAGATGATGGACCTGTGTGCAATACATTAAATGTTTAATAATATAATTATGGATTTGCACACCTCTTCTTAAACAAATTTTGAAAAAAATCTGTAAATTGTGTTTTGTAATTTTTGTATTCTTTTCTTTGAATAATGCAAAAATTTTCGTAATTTGTTATCTTTCTAAAACCCTGGTAATGCAAGCTGTTTTTCTGTCTAAAAATATCTTGAAAAATTATATGCAGGTAGGTACCTTGCGTATGTCCTTAAGGACCCTTTTTTCATAAAAGCAGTCAAATGACTAAATATTTTTTTCTTCATTATTCTTTACGCCTTCTTCCTTTCTCTCTCTCTCGACTGTGATCAAACGTAAACATTGTACTACACGTATATGTCCATTCATAAGAACTTCCACGTACCGACGTACCGGGAGTGGACTGCTACTTATTCTGTGTATTATAAAAATATAATTCTTTTTTTTATATCTTTAATCAGTAGGATATATAATGGTTGTACGAATATTTACAATGGTTACTGGTTAATTATAGATAAAGGATCCTTTTAATTAATCAGATTTATTGTAAATACTCTATATAAGGTAAGTTTATGAATCGCACAGGTTCAAGGCAGTTCTATACTCGGCACTAAATGGGCTCAATCTTTTAAAATATGCTTTTATAAGGTAGACATACATCCCAGCAATGGATAGACACAAGAAAAATTATATGTCAACATGTTCATTTTTCCGCTATAGCCTATCGGAGTATATACCCCGAAAAATTTTACCTATCCTAGATTTTGTTGTATATAAATAAATTTAAGTCTAAATATTCAACGTTAATACCCCAAATAGAGTAGAAACATGTTATTAAACAATATAATATCATTGTTTTGCATGAATTATTATAAATAGATGCACTTTGTTAGGCTATTGTATCAAAATTTAATGCGAGAAAATATGCTTCACAGGACAATCTCGGTCATTTAAAAAAAAATCATGGACTCAAACTTCGTAAATTTGCATTATTTTTACTAAATTATATTTAAGAAAAATAATAAGCTTAAAAAATTATATGTTGACGCATTACTTTTCGTGGTATGAGCTCTACACTAAAGGGACCCCCCTATTTTCTTTCTTCCAGAAGTAATATATTGCCACATATTTCTGAAATACTGTTTATGTTTGAGTGTATACTTGTATTAACAAGGTTGTACATAATTTAAAACAATAATTATACACACCCAAAACCAAATGTCCCTAAAATTTATCTTATTTTACTCAAAAAAAAAAAAAAAATAAATAAATAAAACACACTAGCTTGTCTTTAAATTGGAGACGATGAAAATGAAAGTAATTCATTGATTCTCAGAAACTGGATGATTTTGCTACAGAAAGTAACGAAGTGTGCTGCAAGTGAATCAACTTTTGTCAAATGCTTATTCAAAAGATAATTTGCATAGGGATTCGTGGGTAAGCTGGTTGGGGGAGGGGGGTATGCGTTTTATGCAATAATTATTATTCAAAGTAAATTTTGTATTGTTTGATTAGTAAAATCCATAAATTGTGTAAGTCAAATCGTAGTCATTACTTTTCTTCCGAATTATCACTATTAGCTTCAACTTGGCCGCCGACAATAGTCGCCTCGATAGGTTGATACATGTTCTGATGTAGCATGTATATGGTCCGTGTTTTCGGCGCGGCATATAAAACATGCATCATTCACAGAAATATCGTTTTATTACCTAATTATTTCTGTCAACCGAAAATTGTTCCCAGCCTTCTCTTTTTAATTAATTTATCCTTAAACTGTAGAATATGTGTTTGTTGACGCGACCGACTTCGAGCAAAATCGTTACCGGATATTTAAAACGCTAAGTAAAAGTCAAACCAATATAGTTAAAAAATCTCATCTCGGAAAAAGGAAGCGCGGTTCCGGTTTTACTATTCGTAAATGACGTAGTGCGAGTATAGACCTACTTTAATTAATATATAGGTTTTTTTTTCAACATCTCGTCTTTACGTACTTCGAAGTCTAAGGGATATGATCAGATCGCTGTGGCATATAGACAGCATAAATTAAGGAATACCTGTCTAGTTAGTATAGAATGCCAGGGCATCAACAATAGTGGGGAACATGGGATAATTTGCATAACGGGCGAAGCCCAATATGCATAAATTAAGCCTCCTTAGTTCCTGACCTATTGACCTGCCTAACTTACATTCCGGTATAATTACCAAGGAATTAACTCCGCTAAGTTTCAAAGAGTTATCACAGAGAGAAAAATTATAAATGAAAATACTACAGCATAACCCCCCCCCCTTTTCCTTCTCTTCAACGCCACATTAAACATTTCGTTTTCATGAAGCGAGGCATTTATTGATATTTTTAGATTCCTTCCATTATCTCTCCCCTTCAGAAATCTCAGACTGTCGAAGCTTAATTTTTAAATTTTATTGTTGTTAATAGCCCTCCTGTGATCATCAAAAATTTCAACTATTTATACTTTCACTTTGGTTTGCAAAATAATTTGGTCCAACGCACTTTTTGCAGATGTCACCTACATTTGTCCGAGAGTTTTTAAAGACATATCTATTTTTGCAGTTGAGGTAAAAAGAATTGTAAGAAAAAATTCAGAATTAAGCACTGCATTTTGTCCAGGCAATAAATATACTGTTTTCACAATGGATGGGACTGTAGCTCTCAAGTCTGTCAAAATATTTTTTCGGAGAACTACCTTCTGGAGTTAACATTTGCCACACTACTATTACAAGGTACATTGTAGGAATATCATGTATGTATATGGATATATCTACCATACTTACCTATGCAAATAACAGCTTAGAAATAAAATGGTAAAAACACTGTAAGCTTTAACTGTCTAATCCCAACCCCGCTCTTATCCCCCCTCCCCCACAAAAAAAATGCATGACAACTTTCAATTCTGGTGAAATGTATATTTACAGGAAATTCTTTAACTAACTATGCGAATTATACTTAAGCATATTTATCGAAATGAGTTTTATTTTGTCACTAAATCAAGAATTATGTTTAAGCTCAAGAAAATCAACCCTACTGCAGAATTCAAACATAATATAAACAATATTTTTTCGAATTATTGGCTTGAGTCCTCCACTTTTTTGCCAAGATATACATTATTTGGGCATTGAGAATAGGGATTACGGTTTTATTGGGGATTAGCCTCATTTCAATATTAGCCCCCCCCCCCCTGTTTTATTTGCTTTTGACGCCTATGAATTATGCTGAATGTATCGCAACTGTTTATCATCAAACTGCAATACTGCATGGTTTATAACGCGCAAACTGCCCCAAGTTATGTTAGAATGATCGAATTATTCGAATAACATAAGTTTTAATAACCTTCATTCCTTAAAAAATTATAGGCTCGATTAAGAAAATTTACATGCGTAAGTACTAAACTTGTCAATCGTACATCTATAATCCTGATGTTCCATAGACACGAATGTTTGTCAGACTGACTGATGAACATCCCCTAGTAACGTAACATAATATATGTAACTTTAACATTTAAAAAAAATACGGACTTAAAAATAAGAAAGGGAATATCTAAAGGTAATGTTTGTTTCAGAAAAGGTCACGTGACATGTTTTTCACTATACTACCGGGGACACGTGTGTAACCCCCAAGTACGAACCTTCGCTCATTATGAAAAGTTCACACTAACACACATCTTTTAATCTTAACTAACCGGGGACATTTTTTCAACATGTTAAAAAACGGATTTTTTTCGGCTTTTTGGGGTAATTAGACATCCCTGATTTCGAATTTGGCGCTATTTTTAATCGGAGACAACCGGGGACGTCCCCGGTTGGAAGGTCGTCCCCGGTTGGAAGGTGTGTAAACAAACAAATGTCCCCGTTTGATACCCTTCACGCACACACACACACACACACACACACACACACACACACACACACACACACACATATATATATATATATATATATATATATATATATATATATATATATATATATATATATATATATATATATATATATATATATATATATTCCTCTGAATGAATTTGAAATCAAGACAGACCTTTGGCGTGTCAACTAGTTATTACCCCAAACCCATCACCCCTAAAAATGATCTTTTAGAAAGAGGTTAATTCAGATTCAGTTCAGATTATAACATTATTGATGTGACAATCAACAAGTGTATTCTTTTTAAACGGGATTAAAACAGCTTGTTTTATAATAGAAAATTTTGAATTTTATTTTATATTTATATATTTTACAGAAATACCTACATATACATGTATTCCTAATACAAGTAAATATTTTCGACTTATTTTCAGAAATCTGTGTTCATTAATATAGGAAGGGGTGATGTCATTGATGAATCGTCTTTATTGAACGCTTTGAAGTAAGTGTATAATGTTATAGGATTCGCTATATTCACTGGGTTCATTGTTATCTAATTTATATTTGCATAATGTACGAACCCTTTATGCAATAATTATTCAACGTTTTCATTTATGACCTAACATGCCCAACAAAAACATTTATTCCTCATAAACATCAAACAATGCAATTAAAATATGTCAAAAATGCTGTGTGTCTTAAAGGAAATGAAACACATAAATTCCAGTAGAATCAGCAACTGAAGTCATCATTACTTATGATTATGAATAGTCCGATAAAAAAAATGGACACAGATTTAATACTTCACTTCAGATTAAATTAATTTTCTTTCATTGTGATACCCAGTTGTTATACGCTCAAACTTGTTCTTACTAATTTTAAATGTTCAAATTAGTTTTCAACCCTTCAAGCAGAGTCAGTTCACCTCGTCCTTATTTTGATCTATCACATGCGTTTGAATGCTCTTCTGCAGTTTTGATTTTCCGTCCTGGCTTCCAGTCTATTAAAACCAAGCTTGTTTTTCATTCTGCGTAAAAGAGCTCTTTTATAATTATTGAACTATTTCACGAATGCTCTTGGTTTTGTACTCTCTTAATCTACTATTCTTTTGATTCGCTTTAAACAATTCTTCCACAGAACAGCGTTTAACATTTAGAAAAAAGGACAATCATATCCAATCCTGTTTAGAATATAAAGGTAAAAAATTCTTAAGGGGGTCGACTGGAGTTTTATTGTGTGCAAAAAAAAAAACAATAGTGAAACTCTTCATTTTTATACCATATATAACTTTCATTAACTTCAGTGTACATGCCAAGTTTTGGGAAAATCTACCGTCCAGGTATACTCTTCAAAAAAAGAAACGCATAGTTGAATTTTAGTGACCCATTAAACATAAAGATTATTTAGTAAAATTATGTATTGATAAAACAGAAATGTGGTTAACAACAGGAATACTATCTAAATGTCATAACTACTCAAGAATATTAAAATCATAGTCAGTTTAAAATCATTAAAGATCAATATCTGGTATGCCCCCCGCAAACACAAATGATAGTCACAAACGGCATCCAATGGAAGCAAATGTGTGTAATAAAAACTGTTTAGGAATACTCTCCCACTCCAAATGTAGAGCTTTGGTCAGCTGTTGCAGAGTCTGGGGATGCGATTGTCTTTGGTAAATCATGTCAATCCATTTTCTACAATGCTGCTTAATTTGGTTTAAATCTGGCGATTTAGATGACTGTGGCAGAAACAGGTTGCTGTTGTTTTGCAAGAATGAGAATGTCAAACGAGCGTATGTGGCTCTGCATTGTGAGATTGCAATACGGCTCTAGGATGCTGCAAAATTGAATAGGCATGTGTAGGTAGAACATGGTTAGCGTACCTTTTTCCATCAAAGGCCATTGAATTCGAACCAAATCAATCTTACTTTCATATAATACCGTTTTCCATATCATTACACTACCACCACCAACTTTTTTAACCTACTGGAGACAGTTATCTGTCTAACGTTCATTTCAAAGTTTTAGCATTCTTGAACTTACAAGAGGCTTTTGGACAAACATTCTGGACTAGTAGCTAAACCAAAATGTTCAGTAGTGATGTTGTGGTCATACTATATTGATTTTAGATCTTTGAAGTCCATATTTTGGGTGCTGTGGGGTCGGAACAATGGCATGAATAATCCTCTTGCAATAATTCGTAGTCAACTGAAAACGGTCTTGTTACATGATCTGTGCAGTTCAGGGATAGCTAATGCTTTAGATGACGTCAGTGTGTTACATTGATGCAATTTACGTAATCCTCTTAAGTGATGCTGAGCTGCTGATGTCACACGTAGACGTATTTCTTGCGAACATTGGGTGTTCGATGTTAATGGTTTCTGTTTTATAGGTTAGATATGGTGCTGTGCGTAGCATTAAACCTCTTGCAGTTGTATACTGCGGTACCCCTGCTTCCAGTCGCCCATTTTCCTTTTTGTGCTATGCAACATTCAAATGCAGCATTTGTAGAAAGCGTCAGTTTTCAGATAAAACGAGATTGTAAATATCGAGAACCCCCGCTTTTGATAGCCCATTTGTACCTGAAGGAATTGCATCAGAAACCAACAAATGAAAATTGAGATCAAAATTTTGGGGGGAATTTTGCAAAATCAGGTCTTTTTGTCTGTGAGACTTGTAGAATAGCTGTAAAATTAACAATTGCATCAAAATATCACGCATTTGACGCGAATGCATCATATCCATCTAAAAAAGAAACGGTATGAGAAAACTATCATACATTTTTCAGGGCATTGTTCCTACTATGCGTTTCTTTTTTTTTTTTTGATGAGTATATTTTAGGGGACCATCTCAAAATACAGGTACATTTACTATAGGGTTATATAAAAAATGTCAATTTTAGTACTTTAAAGCAAATTAAACAAATACTACAATAGACTTTTTGTTCAAGCTATAATATTTGATGAGTAATACTCTATTGTACATTATATTTAAGAAATACAACATTCTACCGTCTTGTGACCATTGGGGACATCTCAAAATGCCAAAAATTAACGAACTTTCCTTTTTTTTTTAAAGTACTGCTTAATATGACGGGCACAAAGGGTCTATATGAAAACGTAATAAAAATAATGGAGATATTCTCAAATTTCTATGTTTTATTTCAAGAGCGTATGTTTATTACTTTTTCTTGAATAACATTTTTATTATCCCTTTCTTTAAGAACTTCAGTTTATCATAACGTCAAAAAGATACTGTAACGACGTCAAGCTACCTATCAATTGCAAAATTGGTTAAAAAATCAGTTATATAAAATTGTAATTACATTTTAAACCGGAAATTTCTTAATTTTGTCTAATTTTTAGCCGGGCTTTGCTGGAAGCAAAGTCCTAGCTATAGGCATCATGATCGACTGCCTTACTATAAATAGCACAGTAAACAAAAAAACCAAACAGCGTCAAAGCAGACGCTTCCGATAAACAAAATAGTCCCATTGAGAGACGATATTCAAACAAATATTTTTAACATCCCAATCGTTGGAAAAGTTAATGATCAATATTTTTTGCTTGAGAATTAAACTGAAAGAGAAATTATATATTTTCTTTATTGGGATAATCGTGATATAACAATCTGTGCACATACCCTCTGAATGTATATTGTAAGCGAACTATTTTCAATAGCGCGGGCTTTTAGAAATATTGAAATTGTTGAAGAGTTTCTTGTTTCATATCGTTTTCGTCGATGTTATGTTAATGGTTATATTCTGTTTTGACTGCAAATGAATAGTTTAGTGAATTGGAATTTTAAGAATTAACATGCGTAAAGTCCCTTAACAATGTACAGATATCAGTGTTTCTACATGTAGTTGGCGATAAAAGTACTGTTGTTTGAAATTAAAAAGATTGTATATAAAATATACATGTGCAATATTATTTTAACTATTCCAAGACTGAATTTTTAAATTATGTGAAAAAAAATGCTTATTGAAAAGAAAATATGCGAGGATTTCTTGCATGAAATATTATTTATTAAATTTTAAAATCATAACATGTCTTGGGGTCTGGACTGTTATTTCTAATTACTGGTATATGGAAAATTGTTTTAAATTATAATCATACAAACTTCTTTCAATACTTTGATTTTAATTAAGCGAAAAATTTTTTTTAACCCTTTCTCTACCGGAACATTTTAAGCGTTATTGCAGACCTTTTGACATATCCTTATAAATTAATTTATAACTTTTTTATTCAAAGAGTAATCTAGGCAAAATGCATACCATTTTGTACGGAATTTTCCGGAGATGATATTTCATAGCTAAACAGGTACCTCACGACTGAACTTGCTAGTGGAAATGGAGGTCAAAAGTCAAATAAGTGCAGAATTTTATTGCATTTTTTGAAACATTTTAATCTTCAAGTTAAAAATCTAGAGTGATCCAATTGAAATAGGAAATTCAGAATAAACTCACAAAAGGGTATTATCCTTTACTTCATTAATCACATTAAGTTTTTTTTCAATTCTGCAAAAAAATGACTTTAAAGAGGTTGCTAAGCAACGGAGTATTTTTCAATTTTCAGGCAGTATTTCTTGTTTTTTGCTCATCCTACACATATTTATGCATTTCATTACATTTTAAAGTCAAATGTGGGGTAATGATACTGAAAACAATATACATCAGATAATTGTCTTAAAGTTTGACTTCATTAGATTCATTATTTTGGAGGTCAAAGGTCAAATAAGTGCATAATTTTAGAATTTTTTCCCAAAACGTTTCATCTTTCTTGCTAAATTTTTTTTTGTAACAATGGATGCTAAAGAAGAAAATTCTGAATCTATTATACTCTTTAGAAGACACCATTCTGAATTGCAATATCTACATATTATTTTTGTTCAAATTTGTGTTAAATGACCTTTAAATGGTTGCTAAGCAACAACCATGTCGCTTTATAGGTTTCTTATTTTTTATTCTAGAGTGAGATATTTTTCCATGGTATCGTATGTAAGATATATGGTTAAAAAATTCAAATAATGTATGAAACATCCATCAAATAATTGTCTCAAGTATTGACGCCGACATTTCTGTTCTTTGGGGGTCAAGGTCATATCAGTATAGAAATCTGCCTTAAATTGTAAGTACATATCAATTGTTTTGGAGATATTGTCCAATAACTGACACATAAAACTGTAAACAACAAAATCAACAGAGATATCACAAAAGTGAATAGTTTTGTTTGTTTTGTTTTTTTACATCTTGGTTGTCATTCAAAATATATATCTCTGACTTAAGTAAACTGGAACAAAACTTGTAAGATGTGTTCTCAAGTATTTCAATCTTAGTGACACATACTATTAAAATCATATTAAAAAAAATGTATTGCAACCAGAATTATACAATGGAGTTCTAATTTTGTCATTTTCAAAAACTATGTCAAACACATTTTTTGTCACCTTGAATACATTTTTTAAGAAAACATTTACAATTTCTTTTCTTACAAGATTTTTTTTACATTTTCAAGTCTTTACTGGGTCACTTGTTAAAACAACTTTTGTCATTTTATAAGCATATGAAAAAACATCAGAAGATGGACAAGCACAGAACTTTAAAGCTTTTTTAAATAAGCGGCTTCTGCTTCAGTCTTTCACTCGTCCAAATAATTTGGCATACAATTACTGAATTTCAGTAGCCAAGGATTTCTATTTGCTGCTCTTCTCACAAGCCCTTGACTTATCATGCTGTCAAAAGTCAGAATTCCGTATATCACATGACATGATCTTAAATAACTACTTGCATCATTGATAGAAATAAAGAGCATTCCTAAAAAGTGAAGTATCCGGCAAAGAATAATTAACAAGCAGGTAGGTTTATTTATTAGTAAGTTTGCAGGTCTATGTCTGTAACTTTAGATTCCAGATTACATTATGTGCACATCATTTTCATGTTGAATGATCTCTCTGCCATCTCTCTGAAAGACCAAGGGAACTCCTTTGATTTGCCCAAGGCATGATCAGTCTCTAAATGTATTCTATCCTGTAACAAATTTCAAAAAAAGTTTTGCAAAAGTTTTTCTAAACAAATATGTATTTTTAATCAGATAATTCAGATTGTAAAGGAATCTACAATTGACACATTGATATTACTTTCCTTTTAAAATATTGTTAAAAAGTATTTTTAAAGTATGTCATATTATATATGTTATATTTTGTCATACTTGTAGTTAAATGGCATTGTGAAGTCAATGTATGATGACTGAAAAATTGCCAGCCTTGTACTAAACAATCATGGTTAATCAATTATAGATTTTAAAAAATAGCATAATTAACCATTAAATTCTATCAAATGCACGAAATATCCTTTTTTAGTTTTTGTTGTCAGGGTTGTTAAGAGAAAGGGCATGTTTTTAATTATTAAACTAATTGAAGGGGACCGACTGTGGTTTTCATAGAGCAATATTTCGCGCATCTTAGTAAAAACGAAGCGTATTTTTTACAGTAAATACGCTTCGTTTTACTAGTTTATCTAAGGCTGAAAAAATTGCAGACACATTGGACTGGTACGAACACTGAAGATTCCTACTTATAATGTATAAACTTACATAAAACATTTTCATAATGACAACTTATAGAATCATTTACAAACGTCTCTATAACTCATAAGATTCTGGTTTGGAATTAACTAATATCGCATGACAAAATGAAGGACAGGGAAATTTTTGAACAATCTGAAAGATAAGAGATCATACATTCCCACAGACGATTTTCATAAGATATGATATGTTTATAATTATTTATGACATACTTAGTAATAAATAAATAAATGTATATGCGATATGGTGACGTCAAAATACATGTAGCTGTATCAGCCCTGTAGGGCTGATATGGATTTGCAGGGCTGATACAGATCAATATCACACCCTTAGTAAATTAAACCTCAAAAAACAGTACTTGTGATCATATACAAATTTTGGGGGTTACATATATAATTCTCTTAATTTTAAGTTTTTGAATGTAAGGATAATCTTATTGACAAATAATAGATTATTTTCAAGTTACGAATCGGAGACATTCGAAATAGAAGTACATGTAGAAACAAACCCAAACCGTATGAGACAACAGACTTTGTACATTGTAAGAAGTCCGTGCATAATTATTATCTGATTTTCTTCTCAACTTAATGTGTTCTGTATTTTATTATTAAGTATGTAATAAACGTAATAAAACATACCCTTTGCCACATCACATCCTGTATCAGCCCGAGACACCAATATTCGGCCCTCTGGATGATATTGGTGTCACGGGCTGATACAGGATGTGATATGGCAAAGGGTATGTATTATTCTCTATGTAAAATACTTGATATTATGTTTTACATGAACTATAGCGTTACTTTATAGCAATGGTTGGATAGGAGGAGCCATCATGGATACCACCGACAGAGAGCCACTTCCTCCCGAGAGTGAATTGTGGTCACATCCAAACATAGTAATAACTCCCCATATATCGGGACCTTGTTCGACAGACGTGGTAAATAACTTGATAAATATACATCTTGTTTTAGTTTACTTAATATACAACTGCAATTTTTTTATGTCTTGTTCCAATACAAAAAACAAGATGTGTTTGTGAAACACTGATAACCCCGCGTATAGCAGTTTAAGGCGAGGGTTGAATTTTGATATTCTCAAATGCATGTCAAAATCCAAAGGTCAAGGTCAAAAGTTCAAAAGTGTTGGTACCCAAAGAAAGGACTTGTCACAAGCCATACACCTGTGAAATATGAAAGCCTTTACCTTATTTCTAAGCTTTAAAGTAGATCTTGACCTTCTAGTTTATCCCACATTTTAAAACCTTTAACCTAAGTCATAACTTTTAAACAGTTAGAACTAGGGCTTTCATATTTCACAGGTGTATTTCTTCTAACAAGACCTTCCTTTAGGTACCAACTCTTTTGACTTTTTGACCTTGACCTTTCAAGTTTGATGTGCATTTTAGAGCATTCAACCCGCGTCATAAGCTGCCATACGGAGGCACGGTGTTTCACAAACACAGCATTTTTTCTGCAATAGCTGCGACATTAATTTCCGTACTCACAACCAAATTAAGACATTTTATTGCTTATAATATTTATATCTAGCTGTATGTTTACATTTCCAATATCTTTTTCCGAGATAAAATTACAAATTGTAAAAGTACTCTATTTCCCCATCAATGTTTGGCGCGGTTAAAAAAAATCACGTGCTTGGAGCACGTGGATTGGCGGAATCAAAGCATGTAAATATAAGGAATAACTCAGATTTTTCAATTTCGTGACGATGATCAATCGATTAACTTGCGTGATAATTTTATGCATAAACGTCGAAGGCCTTTAATGCAAATTATCACGCAAGCCAATCGATTGATCACATCATGAAATCGAAAAATAAGACAGTTATTCCTAAAATAAATAATCATTTAAAGTAGTATTAAGAAGATTAATTATTGCATTATTAAAACGTACGTCATTTTACGTTTCATAGATGGAACGGCCACTGATCAAGAAATCTATACCTCAGATGGTATTGCTAGTTGTTCATGAACTGATAATCGGCAATAGTTTTCTTAAGCAATAAAGGAGAAAATATTCGGTGGATGCAAATACATAGTTATATCTATGTTTTCCTCCTTTTTTCAGATTGCCAAAGTATTTGTTTCAAATTACAACAAGTATATCAATGGGGAGCCATTGGATTACCTTCTGGACTTTGAGCGCGGATATTAGACAATTAAACGGCCGCTTTATATAATTGTAGACTTGACAAAAGCAAGGTTCGAAACACAACGACGCAGCATGAATAAATTGATATATCTGAACAATTAACAATGAAGCAATACATTCAAAATTTGGAAAAGTGACACAGAATTGATTAATAAATGACACAATGTACCATTATGATATAATGATTTATTTTTAATGCAGTAATATATGAATATTAATGACATAATAAAAAAAAATAAGCAGTTTGAATTTGTTGGAACACAGTGTAACTATATTAATAAAAGATGAATTCTTCTCATAATTATTGATTTAAAATCAATGATTCACGAAAAGTTACGCATTTAATATTTTTTTTTAAGAACAAGCTCAGGTTAAGGTCATTTTTCTCTCTCATATTTAGAATTAAAAAAAAAATACTTTTCTTCCAGCTGCAATGTACTGTCTCCGATGATTTTAAATAATGCAGTGTATACTTGATCTCTGTGCATAAAAGCTGATACCTGTTAATTTCTTTTTTTTTTTTTAATGATTATACAAAATTAAGATAAAATTTGAACATAGAACTAAAGAAATCGTCTTATCCATTCTTTTTTGTTTTCCTTAGGAAATTAAGGGAAAATTTTAAATTCCTATTTTCTTCCTATATTTCTATTTGTGAAAAGCACTGAATTTTCACCAGGAAAATATACGCGTAAGCTATTTTTGCAATAAAAAAATCTTTCGTTTAACAATTAAATAAAAGATAGCAGATGCTCGTTTTAAAACACATTTATGGAATAAACAGACAAGGGGAAAATAATTTGTGATCTATATTATGTTAAATCATACTAATTTAAAAAAAAAGCTTTTAAGAAAGAGATCTGTCTCTTGGTCATCCGCTCCTAACATTTAGATGAATAAAATTTTGCCATTATAACTTACATGTCCTGTTATTTATTTATTTATTTGCCTTGAGTAATACATTCGATAACTTCGGGAACGAACGTATACTTATAATTATATTAAGTTCGGGATCGGGAATGCAAAAAATGCAATGAGGATATCATGGCTTGTGAAAATATTCATATTGAGAATCAATCTCTCACCAGAGGGCGTTTAATACGCGTCCGCTCCAACACCTCTGTTATCGTCTAAATTACAAGAATCTAGTAAAACGAAAATAAATTATAGATTTCTACCAACTTGGTAATTTTTTAAAATGAAATTAGAAATATCAATCTGTAGTACTTCTTTTGTTCTTTCAAAATTTGGATATATATTAAAATAGCTTCAATATATACGGCACTCTTTTGTTCTGAATTTTTACACATATTTTCATTTTGAAACCAAGGAGACAAAGTCAGGAAATATTTACTACCAAAGAGCTTAAAACACGTAACATCATTGAGAAATCATACAAAACAATCAATGTTTATACAATTTTTGTCGACAAATAATTTTTTGACAATCCGCGCTACTTTTTAGACGACAACAGAGGTGTAAGCGGAGCGCGCCCTCTGGTGAGAGATTGATTGAGAATCTGGATGATATTTCTCGATGTTCTGTTTGTTTTGACAAATTTAAAACGCCAAGGTATTTGCCATGTTACCACTCCTTCTGTCATGGATGTCTTTCGTCCTTTATCGCCTCGTCGTGTCAATCCAAAGAGACTTCTTTCGGATTTCCTTGTCCATTATGTCGAGATTTCATTCCTTGTGTTGGTGAACCCGAATCATGGATTGAACACTTTCCGATTAATGAAACATTAATGAAGTTGATCGATGTTAGTGACAGTGTGAAATTTTGTGAACCTTGTAAAACAGAAGATGAAGAAGCTGAAGCCACAGATTTCTGCGCCGATTGTAACGAGACTATGTGTAAAACGTGTTCGAAATATCACCGAAAATTTGTCGCTACTTGTGACCATATTTTGTGTCCATTGAACAGGGTAAATCAAAGAAGTCTGCATTCCAACTTATACAAAACTTGTCGTCAACATAAAGGCAGGCCTATTGAGTTATTCTGCTATGACCATGATGAACCTTGTTGTTCCCTGTGTGCGGGCACTAGGCACAGAAAATGTAACTTTGTTGTTGATACAGTTTAAACTGTTGCAGAAAATATGAAGAAAAACTGCTCAATTAAGTATCTGACTGGGGAAATGGAAATATATGAGCAAAACCTTTCAGAGCTGAAGAAATTAGAAGACAAAAATATTGAAGACCTTGACAATAGATCTGAGGTTCTTACAAAAGATGCAGAAGAACTGGAAGAAGATATAGTTAACCATATCAGAAAACTAAAAGATGTTTATCTTAACCAACTTTCCAAGTTTTTAAAAGAAAGCAAAGAAAAAATAAATAGAAATATAGATACTATGACTGACAAATCTCATTGTATCCAGAAATGCAAGCAAACACTATCAGACATTGATGATAATACAGAAATAGTTGAATATGTTGTGAAATTTACCAATGCTAAACAGATTTTTCAACATGTGCAGAAATCACTTACAAGGAGAGTACATTTCTCTCTCGAAATGGAAAAGTGCCTTGAACCAGATAATTCCAAAGCAAATCAATTGTTTTCATTTCCAAATTGCAATTAAAAGATTCTATTCAAGAAGTTTTAGATGGCATAGACATTAAAGAGGCTAAAGTGAGAAATGCAGCAAATTTCCAAGTTAAAGGAGGAGTTGTATTTAGTGGAACATTTTTAGCTGACGGGAGCATTCTTTTTCCACAGCATTCCGCCTCAGGGAATCATTTTAAAACACAATGTCAAATCTTTTTCAAAGATGGTTCATTCCAAAATGCAGTCAGCATTCCATATAAACCTGCCTGTGTGAAACTGGATGGAGAAGAACTCTACATAACATGTCCGCAAGACAAAATGATTCATGTCTTGTCTTCAAAAACTTTTGAAACTATTCGTGAATTTTCAGTTCAGAGGAAATGCTATGGAATAGATATCAGAGATGATTTTTTGTATATTGCATGTATTGATTTTATAGAAAAACTTGGCAAATCAGCTGGCAGTGTAGTTCAAACTTATATTTATGAATTCCCTGGGCATAAAATCGAGTGTGTTATTGTCACAAAACAAGAAAACATTGTATATAGTTTGCATGAGGAAGACATAGTTTCAGCAATAAGTAATGAAGGGGAATCAATATGGACATATAAAAGTCCAGATCTGAAATTTCCTTACGGACAGGAAAAGGACTCGGAAAGCAATATATACATAGCGTGCAGAGACAGTGGAAATATCCATGTGTTATCTAGTGTTGGTGTCTTAATCAAACGGTTTGATGATATGATTAATCCGTGGTTTATACTGATTTCCTCCAGTAAAAACACATTCTGTGTCTGCAGTCATAACGAAGATATGGCCATTTGGCAAATTTACTGACCTTCACAAAAAATAAAACTAAAATCCATTTTCAAAGTTAAAAGATTCATATATACATGTGTATTTACTTTAGAAGAAAAAAATGAATATGTTTTGTTTGCATATATGAAATAAAAGTATTATTTTCTGTATCCTTCTGCAACATGTACATACATGTGAACGCGTATTTATTTATTTATAGTGCAACACGTAATATTTTAATAAACTACATATTTAAATGAAAAGTGAAACTTCTTGCTGTTTAGAGCTTATCATTTTAAAAAAAAATGTTTAATGATTTAAAGCGGATTATTGCCGGAGAAAACATTTCCACTTGAAAAACTTCACTGAAAATCATAAAGATTGCTATTTCTTTATTTATAAAGATTAAATATTTTCAGAAGTACATGTAAGAAAATATCTAACACTTTGCCTATATAAGAGTCATGAATCAATTGCACAATGAACCTAAGGAGATGGGTGAACATGACGAGAGATAAGCCCATAGCGCGACAAACATGAAGGTGAAAAATTAAATCTCAATTATTTCAAAATTTTTTTCTTAATATTTCATCTAACATTAAAGTATACTTTATGTAAAATCTCTACAACTTGCACAAATCTCATGAAGGTTGAAGTTATTTGCCTATGAAATACTGTACACACACGAAAGAGGACAAAACGAGTCATTTTTTCACACTATAACACTATTTTTCGATATGAGTGGGTCTTCTCTCCATTTTGTTGAGAGTTAATCTTCAAAGTTTGCATACAAACATACATATGTTGGTTTCCAAAATTATGGAGCAATGACCCACTATACTTTAAAATTATAATTTTATGACATAACTTTCGTATCTTTTCAAGAAATACTAGGAGTCCCTTAAGTCAATGGTCATATCAGAAACATGATTTAAATGCCATACTTCATCAGGACTTGTGTAGCGTAGTGGTTAGCGTGCTAGTATCAATAGACAATGCAACTTAGTAATTTTATTGCCAGGGTTCGAACCCAATGGATACCACATAATTTTTTTTATATAAAAGAATAAATATTAACGAAAAATTTTCCTCAAAACTTTTTGTTTATCATGATTTCATAAAAATCAATGATGAGAACTTTACTCTAAATACTAAATTCACAATTTGAATTTGATCTTACATCTCTGAAGCTAGTGGGCTTTCTGCACGCTAAGTTCACCCATCTCCTTACAAAGAACTATATGCGGTATATTGCATATATTTGCCCCCACAAAAGTCAAATTTTGAAAACTTCCTGAAATGTGCTGAATTCAATAAATTGTATGAGAAATATAAATTAACAGAAAATATTATAGAGTCAAAGCAGTGTATTCACAATTTTTGTTTTTATGACGTCACAAACTACAGTACCTGGCCATAAGTCTGTCATAAAATGGCTGACGTAACGTAACGTGAACAACGTGAACGCAAAATTCAAAAATAAAAAAAATTCTATAAATATTAAGCACTTACCTTTTTATCTCTAGTATTTAGTTGCATGACCCTTAGATTTAATAACTTGTCGAATTCGCCTTGGAATTGAAGCATACAGACTCTGAATGTAGTGCTGAGGCAAGGACCACCATATTTCCTTTACTTTCAAGATGAGGTCTTCACGATTATGAATATTGTGTACCTGTCTCTGAAGACGTATTTTTATGGTTCTCCACACGTTTTCAATTACATTGATATCTGGAGATTGTGATGGCCAAATAAGACATTTAATATCGTTTTCAGTTTTCCATGATTTTGTTGCGTTAGAGGAGTGGACCGGTGCATTATCATCCTGAAATAAATAGTCACCATTCGGGAAATGGCGCAAAATAACTGGCCATAAATTTGTATCCAAAATGTTAATGTATTTTTGGGAATTAATATTCCCATCTACCTCTGTAAATGTTCCGATTCCTTCGTGAGTAATACACCCCCAAAACATCGCCGAGTACTTTCCGTTTCCACGGACGCCAAGACACTCTGGTCGCCATACTTCGTCGGGTCTTCTCCAGATGTAAACGCGCTTATTCTGGTCAATCACAACCTGGGTTTCGTCGCTGAAAATCACCTTTTTCCAATTATTATTCACTGTCCAATGTAATTTCCCTCGACACCAATTTACACGGCGGGTGCGGTTTACAGATCGAATTGTAAGGGTCTTCCTGGTTTTCCTTCTTGTAAAGTTTAAAAATCGCAAACGTCTTCTTACCGTCCGTGAAGAGATAGAACTTGGTAACTTCGAGTTCACTTCATCAGTTATTTCACCCAAAGTTTGCCGTCTGTTGAGTTTCACACATCGAAGTATCTTACGATCTCCTCGTACATCAGTTTTTCTAGGTCGACCGCTTCGATGCTTATTTTCGCTGGATCCGCGCGTCTTGTATCGCTTGAGAAACTTGGAAATCCCAGACTGGCTCACAGAAAGAATAGCTGCTATGTCCTGTTGGGTGTATCCACTCTCAGACATAGTTATTATCGCATTTTTCATAGGGGTAGACATTTGTTTACCTTTAGTAGCCATCTTGTCAGTTGCTAAATATTTGACAGATATTGCGTCACTTTTATAAAATGACGTCATAGAATTATTGTACACTGTCTATAGAAAGGAACTATTCAACAGCAGCTTGCATAGAGCGATTTATTTACCAGCGCTAAAGAAAAAAAAAATGGCTTCCTGAATTTTGATATTTCAGCAGCCATTTTTATGACAGACTTATGGCCAGGTACTGTAGTCCGATTTTATATCCTTTTTCAGAAAGAGGACAAAATGGACAAAATTTCAACAATTTGACCTTTAAAATTTATAGAGCGCAAGTTTGTTCAGGAACAATATTGACATATTTCATTGATATTATCATTCTACACATTATATCAAAATATTGATCCTGAACACATATGCGCTCGGTGACTTTTACTCAAACTATCGACGAAATATGTACATTTTTCTGTAAAATTCATAAAAAAAACTGAAATTTACGTCATGTTTGTGACGTCATTACGTACATATGGCGTCATTACTTATGAAAATATTTAGTGCTTTGAAGTCAGCATATACTCCCCTGTTTAAGAACTTAATTAAATATATCTCCATCAAAGTTTGATTTGGGGGGCAAATATTGGTTATTACCGAATAAAGTTCTCTTAGTGGTATACAGTCACATTTATAAAAAAAAAAAAAGCAACAACCCCCCTCCCCTTCCCCCCCTCAAAAAAAAATAATAATAAAATGATTGTAATGATCTAACATGCTTTTGAAAAAATTCAAGCAAATGCCACAGACACATAATTTGTTCTTTTTAACTTCGGAAGTAAACACAAATTAACGAATAATTATAACCATGATTTGGGGGGCAAATATTGGTTATTACCGAATAAAGTTCTCTTATTGGTATACAGTCACATTTATAAAAAAAAAAGCAACAACCCCCCTCCCCTTCCCCCCCCCCCCCCAAAAAAAAAAATAATAATAAAATGATTGTAATGATCTAACATGCTTTTGAAAAAATTCAAGCAAATGCCACAGACACATAATTTGTTCTTTTTAACTTCGGAAGTAAACACAAATTAACGAATAATTATAACCACGATAAACAAAAGTATCAGGATGTTAAAGTGACTTCTTGACATGTAAATTTCATGTGATTTTTTAAAATTTTTCAGAAAATTAAAAAGTTTTCAGTAGCCTTTTGTCCAGTCTATAATATAATTAAGTCTCTGTTTATTGGTGTACTTCTCATAGTTTTTGACAAACGTCTTGGCGATCTGGAAAAAAGAAAATCCAGAGACTAACAATTTATTGTACAACAGCTCCAAAAAATTAAATAAATTTTCCTTATAAATAAATTTTTGGAGCTTTCAGTAAGGGAATTTTACAGTTTTCCTAGGCACTATTTCTCAATCGAAAAAGACTTATAAATTAATTATGCTGATTATCAACTCATTTATGAAAAAAAAATATTTTGCTAAAAATTTGCAGGTAGAAACTTTTCAAATTTCTTAGTAGAACGATATCAATTTAAGAAAAAATTGCTTCTAAAATTTTTTTTTTTAATTTCTTGCATTGTAAATGTATTCAATTCCATAGAGATTTCAATAATTATTTGCAGATCTTAATCTTTTGAAAATGGGGCCATAATAACCAGTTAAGAATATACATGAAAAGAAAACTATCAGGTAAGAAATGCATGATTAGTGACTGTAGGAGCCAAACTTACACTTTCTGCTACACTGGGACCTGATATATGGGGGGTTACTGTAACACAGGGATGGGACCACAAGGGACTTTCTGGTGGTAGTGGCTCCTTACAGAAAACATCTAACACAGCACCACCTATCCACTTGTTTCTAAAAGACAAATAAATAGTTAAAAATGGTGATCATTAAAAAGATCACAGAGAGTGTTCGCATTTTAGTTGAAGTACTTCTTGTGAAAACAACGGAATTTATCGTTAATCTCTTCTCATATTTAAAATGACTACATTTGTGATATTTTTTTTACTAATTTTAAATAAATGAACAAATGTATGAAGTGATATTTACTTAAATGCAGAAAGAAGGGATTCTTCGTTTATAATACTTCCACGGCCGACATTGATGAAAATAGGTCGCTGTAACAGTAACATTGGACAAATTCTTCGTTAAGATTTTAAAATATATAATTTTTACACAATGCTGTTCATTTCTGAAAAAATTGTCATACAACTCAATACAAACTCAAATAATAATTTCTCGAGGAATGGTTTCTGTTTCAGAGACTTGCAGAAAAATAGTACATTTATCATCCCGCTGAGAAGTACAGAACAAAATTAATACTCTGAATTACAATATTTAGACACAATTCTCACAGTAAATTCTATGAACCTTAAATTTACATCCTTTCAGACATATTTCCTGACAACTTATTCTATGTACCTATTAAGATTTACCGCATTTTGGTACATCTCCTTACAACGTATTTTACATAATTATCCCCTTATAGCATTTTCTATGTACCTTAGATTTTAAAGCCTTTCGGCGAATCTTCTAGCTGAGAGAATATTCTATGTACCTTAGATTTACAGCATTTCAGCACATCTCCTGACAACATATTCGTAGTTTCTGGCGTACCAGGGAGAACATTACATATATAATCACAACCCGCCAAAAAACTACAAAGATCCGCCAGTGTTCTATGTAAAGAAATACATGGAAAATAACGAACAGTATTCGAGCTCAAAAGTTCATGAAACAAAAGTCCATTAAACAAATCAGGAGAAGAGCAAACAGAGACCTCTTAACGACGTTCGATCCTGATATTTAAAGTCTTAAACTTTTTTTGCCAAGTATATTTTTAGTTTCTACATACATAGCTTAATTAAAATTCAAATCAAAAAATGGGGGTCAATACGCTTCTTTTGGCGCTACAGTACATTTGATATGACCTTTATGCACTGAAATTTGTGTCTTAATTAAAAATTAAACTTTTGACGTTTTCCTTCCAATATTTTTATCCAATTAAAGCATGAAACAAAATGAACTCGAAGTTTGTTTATAAAAAGACACTTAAAAATTGTGACTAAGAAAAATTTTTAAACTGCTTCAAATAATCAATTATTTGACCTTTCTGCACTAATAAAAAGTGATTTTTCTGGCATTGAAAATTTGATAAGCAAGAAAACCATTTTAAAGTCTTAAACTTTTTCTGATTTTAAGCAAATAGGTCATAATTATCTTGGATATTTAGAAAAGAACATCAAAAGTGGGGGTATATGATGTAAATTTTCAGATATTACTAAAAAGTGTCAATTTTACGTTAAAATTGGCTCAATTTTTTCCCGGATTTTCAGAATATATTTACTATATTTGTCAATTAAACTTTGCTGATAGAATTCATAAGAAATAATTAAATAGATATTTCAGAACCAGCATAACACATTTCACTGCAAAAAACAGCTTTGTGTGCAACCAGGATGGAAAAATAGGAATCCAAAATTAATAGTACTGTTATAGTTCAAAATGGAAAAAAAAACTGATCATTTTCGTCTAAAAAACCTTCCGCCACGAAATATAGTCCCTAGCTTAATTCTACTTGAATGGAATTTAATCGCGGTTTTTTCATTGAATATAGTTAAATTTGCACTGTAGAATTCAAATTTAATGTTAGAACTTAAAAATGATGCAGAATTAAATAAAGGACCAGACCAAAATACGCTCAAAATCTCAGGATCGAACGTCCTTAATCATCAGAGGTGGGATCAGCTGCCATGGAGGAGTGATCGAGCCGTGTGCTCCTTGTCATGATCGGGAAAAAAAAACGAGAAAATCCGTCGACAATTCAGTGTTTAAACAATATTCTATTTTAAACAATTTGTATGAAAAACTTCAGTCAGCATTTGACTTGATGATAGATTGTATATGCTAACAAGGTCATTGTACGCACCCTAGAACTTACGAAAGATTACTTTAAACGAGGCTGTTGAAATTCTTGTTTCATCAACTTGTTTGTCAAAAAGTTAAATTTTTTTCGAAATTGTTCATACGTAGAGCATGCTATAGCGTATCGAATCAACTGAGCGATACATTGTATAAACCTCATTTGCAGGTGATAAGTATGGAACGCCGGGACTGTCTTATATGAGGATTAAATATTATATGCAGTGTTTCTTTCATTATATGCGGTACTATTTTAATTTTAATGTATATGAAGTAGTTTTTACATTATATCGTGTACAACCTCCATTATATGCAGTACTTCTCTTATTATATGATGTAGATATGTCATTATATTATGTACATCTATCATTATATGAAGTGCTTTTAACATTATATGCGGTAGTTCTATCATTATATGCGGTAGTTCTAACATTATATGCGGTAGTTCTAACATTATATGCATTAAACACAACAATATATCATGTACTTCTCACATTATATACAGTATATTCATCATTATGTGTAGTATTTCTGTTATTATGATGATGCTGATCGTTAAATATTATGTCCGGTCCAGTTAGCATTCCGTGCGGTAGATTTTGCATTTCGTTATGATGTAGACACAGTATTTTATGCGGTGCTTTCTTCTTTATATGATGATGATCTTTCGGAAGCTACCCTTCGGAACCCCCTCTGTTATATTTAGAAAATTTTACTTTTTTTGTTCTTAGATATGAACATTCTTCATGATTTTAGGTTATATATATATATATATTATTTATTTAGTTTGACAAAAACCACATGTGGCGCAAGTAAACAAATATAATAATATATTCACATGGATTTTCTTATATTAATTAAATGCAACACGTAAGAAGACAAGTTACAAATATTTCTTGTATATTTAACATCTGCTGAATTAAGAATTTCATAAGTTATACATGTATTTTTGAAAAGTGTACAAAATTCACTATAAGTTCAGGCGCGGATCCAGAATTGTTTTTAGAAGGGGGGGGGGGGGGGGTTCACCCCAGTCCAAAAAAAAATAAAATAAAATCCAACCCAGGAATTTCTCGACAAGCAAAAAAATAACAACAGCAACAACAACAACAACAACAACAAAAACAACGTACAATCGCCCAAACTTTAAATACCTATTACTTAAGGGGTGGGGGTGGGTGGGGGGTGGGGGGGTCAATGACTTCTAGTGTTTCAAACCTGACTTTTCATACCAATTTAACACAAATTCGCGGTTACCAGGGGGGCGGGGGTCTGCGTTTTCCGAGGGGGGGGGGGGGTCCAAGGTTACCTTTTTCTTGCTTTAGTATTTGCAAAGTCCAGGAGGGGGGGGGGTGTTCTGGCCCCACCCCATCCCCACCCCCTCAAGATCCGCGCATGATTTGTTGTTTATAAAGAGGGCACACACAAATAAAAAATTATGTTCATCTTCAACAACAGTTGATACAATATCTTTCATCTCTTGGGTAGCATAATCTGCCAACCTCTATCTTTATTTTGTGGAATTAAAAAAGAACAAAGATTCTTGGAATTGGAAAAAATTAAGTATGGTTGAATTTCAAGCCTGTTTAGATTTCGCTGACTTATTTTAAAACTAGATTTATCCCTAGATTAATTAAAGGAATTTCGAAGTCATGTCAATACTTCAGTGGTTTACAATGAGAGAGAGAGAGAGAGAGAGAGAGAGAGAGAGAGAGAGAGAGATGCGCGTATTATTGAAATATTTTTATCATTCCATTGTATTAATTGTTAAACTATGGCATATAAATAATGGCTGATATTCACTGTCTTTAACTGTACTATATAAATGATATGTATCAGGAAAAGACATACGATTTTCAAAGCAGACATTACACGCGCGTTCCTAAACATAATTTTTACTGTTGGAAATGCTCAATGTTTTTTGACTTGTCCACTTTCTTCAAGTAACTTGAGTTATTTTTTTTCTCCGGCTGACCCCCTCCCCTTCCCCCACTTTCAAAAACAATGTTACGTCACTGTATTGAGTCGTCGTGGGTTGTACTTCAAGAATTTACTTTTAAAAAGATATGTGATAGAAACCCCTATGCCTATTAAAATGAGAGATAAAAGGGTAATTTACATTGTGAAAAATTAGCACACCCCACCCCTAAATACAAGTAAATAAATAAATAAATAAATAAATAAATACATGTAATGTTTTCTATAAAGCGCTGTTAAAGACCTGCGTACTCGAAGACATCAGTCATTTTTTCATTATCCATTTTGACATTGATTGTCCTACATATGAAATGAATATTTTTGAATGTCGTATTGTTCACAAGAAAGATAGAAAAATGTTTCAATTTTTTTTCCACTCTTAAAATATTTGTATCATACCCCCCCTTCTCTCTCTCTTTATACTTCATACCATAAAATAGATGGAATTTTATTTTACTCTATTACCCTACTTCATACCTTTTAAAAACAATTTAATCAGTTCATGTAGCATTTATTATTCACTGCTTTAATCAGAGAGATAAATAATACGAGCATGTTTTTATTGTACTGAATTCAACAGTTGATAGAAAGAAGAACCTTGAACAGAGAGTTCCGAAGGGTAGCTTCCGAAAGATACCATAAAGAAGAAAGCACCGCATATAATAATGTGTCTACATCATAACGAAATGCAAAATCTACCGCACGGAATGCTAACTGGACCGGACATAATATTTAACGACCAGCATCATCATAATAACAGAAAACATAATGATGAATGTACTGTATATAATGTGAGAAGTACATAATATATTGTTGTGTTTACTGCATATAATGTTAGAACTACCGCATATAATGTTAGAACTACCGCATATAATGTTAGAACTTCCGCATATAATGTTAAAAGCACTTCATATAATGATAGATGTACATAATATAATGACATATCTACATCATATAATAAGAGAAGTACTGCATATAATGGAGGTTGTACACGATATAATGTAAAAACTACTTCATATAATTAAAATAGTACCGCATATAATGAAGGAAACACTGCATATAATGTTTAATCTTCATATAAGACAGTCCCGGCGTTCCATAGATAAGGGCACAATTGTACATTGTGTATATTGCAGCATAAGGGAAAAAGACGATTTAAAAGCTAAAGTCATCACGATTATCGCAAGGCTTGAAAATAATTTTAAACTAAAGAAGAGATAAGCAAATTTGTAAATAAAAAACAATGAGTAAAAATAATATTTTTTTTAATATATTAATTAAGGAATGACTCTAATTCTTGGCCAGATTATCGAGTATAATATGGTTTGGGTCAGTTTACGCTTTATAATCCGCGAAGCGGATTATAAAAAAGCGTAAACTGACCCAAACCATATTATACTCGATAATCTGGCCAAGAATTAGAGTCATTCCTTATAATTTAATTTTAAAATAATTAAACAACTGGGGATGTAAAATTGTGTTGTTTTTATTAGTTCAAATTTACCGCGCAATAATACAACCGTAGTAACGGAAGTGATGGGAAGCAAGGGGAGGTAAAAACAGATACATAGATCTAGCAGCCATGATGCTTGTTTACATGAGGTAAGATCGAGCAACTGTTTGAAGTTAAAGGTACATTCATTAAATCTGGAATTTTTCATGAATGCGAAGGACTGGAAATGAGGGGATTGATGGATACAGATGATTCAGCTGGTTGTCAAGGGGGTGTGTCCCCATACCAAACCAGATTATACAAAATGTTATGCGTTCCTTTTTGGAAATCAACCAATGAGAGACGAGAATACAAACAGAATTAAATTATTTATAATTAGAAAGAATTATGTGTATGTAGCGAAGTTTTGACAATTAATAATTAGTTAGGCTGCCAAAGAGTGTACTATGTGTGCACCAACTTTACCTTTATCCTTCAATTATGCAATGTTGAATCAGCGCATACAGGGTATATTCAGCTCTGAAAAACTTTTCCAAAGCTTATTTATTTTTTAATGCTTACTCTATCATACTTAGGATATGATACCGCGGTACATGTATTTTCCGCATATGCATACACGTACAATCAATAAAATGAAGAGATATAGTTGAGGTTCTCAAAAACTCAAATTCTATAAAACCTATTTAAAGAATCAAATACAGTCTTTTTTTCCCGTTACTATGTTTCTTCAATCATAAACATGATAAAAGTTAAAAAATGCATTCTGCCCTAACTCAGCAAGAGTAAAAATATTCAATGGAAAACATGCAAATACTATACGATAAGAAGTCAGTAATTCAGATCTTAGAGATAACTCACGATAGGTGATCAAATTCAGGGACATGTTCCTTTGTAGATCGACTCAGACCCCAGACTGTCATACCTACAGCTTTACAAAGCCTGGCAACTAAATACAAAATATATCTCAGTTACACTTCGTGTAAAAAGAATAAGATTTTTGAACATCGTAAAACATTACATTTCTAATCATATCTAATAGTAGCATATTTAAATATCGCTTGTGTACGCATTTCCATATATGCGTTGTGGTGGTAAATCGCCATTTCAATTATTAAAGAAAAAGAAAGCAAATATTGATATGAAAAGCCTATTAGCTTCAGCTTTTTGTGCTTGATCGAGGGTACATCATGCACAGAATAGAGAGTAAAATTGTTGTCAAGTAAGGGTAAAAAATATACATGTATATACAGGTAGAAATCAGATACTTCAATAATTTAACAAATATTTTCCAATTCATAATAATCTGAATCTTGAATTACTACACTTTGAAAGCAAAGAGTAATCAATGTTATTACTGACAATGACGTGTAATGTATATCTCAATAGAGGATTACCTTTCATAAATAACTGGACACAACTTATGATAAATAAAGAGTTTTTCGTCCTTTTTTTGTTCAGTAATTTTTTTTTTCCAGAAAAAACCCATTAGATTTAATTTTATATTCTGCCTCTTTATAGTCTTCACCTCACTACAAGAATTACTTCATCACATTTTTTTGGCCAAAAATAAAGCTTTAGTTACCTAAATATTATTCTTTTTTAGCAAATCCGTCAGATGACTAAATATGATGGTTAAGATATGAGTTTATCAAAATATAAATATGCATTTAATAAAGCCTATATTACATAAAAAGTACCGTATAATAACGAAGGGGGACTAGAACGGAGAATAAAGTAATCGAATCATTTCTTACTTTCTGTGCTGATTGATCCTACTCCAAGAATTCCAATAGTGAGAGAAGTGAGCAAACGTCTGCCTTGTACGGGACTGAAAAATTATTTTAGAAAGAAAAAAAACACTGATATAGGAATAATTGCCAGTTCCAACAGGATAATTTGTCTATTATTTAATTAAAAATTTAAATGTGATATACCTTTTATCCCACAATTTTTCTTTTTGTTGCTGGTGTAAATTTAGAACAGAGAGTTCCTTCACAAAAATATGTCCCACTACATATTCCGCCATCAAACGACCGAAACCTTCACCCATGCGTGTTAGAATCACTCCTTCCGGTGGCTGAAAAAAAAATCCTCCACCTCCTAGCATAAGTTGAAATCCAATTAAACATGTTCAAAACAATGGATATATTGAACTTTTGATTATTATTATAATAGTTTCTAAATATCATTCAAAATCGGGAAAAAATATAATAAAGAAAAAACATTTTTGCATTTAAATATACATTGTATTGCAGATTTTTTTATAATAATAGAATGCTGTTTATCTGAAATTAAAGATAATAATAAGGACCAGTTTATAATTCTTTCCCTCACTGGAAATATTCCATCTCTTCTTTTATATCGCCCCTCACCTTTGGAAATGCTTCAAAGATACTTTCAACACCTGTTAAATGTATAAAAATCGTTACACATAACTTTCAAAAACAAATACGATAAAAATTACGTTGTCAAATTGTTTAAGATTTTAAAGGTTCACTTTTTTAAATACGAAAAAGAAATATATTAATTGATATGTAGTACACTAGATTTAAATTTAATTTTAAATTTACTTACCTGCCCATGTGCTTTGAGCCCATTTCAGTTCACCTTTCTCCTTTTTTATGTGAGAAATAATACTTGGTGTATCTCCAAACAGGACTTCTGTGTTTAAAGGTATTTCAGATTTTCCTATAGAGAAGAAATAATAAAACCGATCAATAAATTAACATACATGTATTAACACAGGCATTAAATTGTTTCTTTGATCCACCTTTTGATTTTAGGCTATAAGAACAGGAAGGATAACTCTTACACCCACTGGATGTTTTCCGGGTTTTTGCAAAACAAGTAAAGTACATGTAGGTAGTTTAAAAATAATTACCATCAGTGTCTGGGGTAGCATCTATAACCTCTGCCGACGGAAGCAGCTGACGTACAACGCTGGAAAGACGAGGGACGGTACTAGATACACAAATAACGTGTTTTGTCGTCATATTTAGCCGGGTTATTAGAAACACCGTCAAGAAGGGTTTTTCCGAAATAAAACAGCCTGACTCATGGTCGGATCTAAGATTTTCAATAACTATAAGATTCAATGAAGCTAAAATAGTTTGTTTAAATTTTATCATTTATTTTGAGTTGTTTTTTTTTTTTTTTTTTTTTTTTTTTTTTTTTTTTGCATTGCAATTATTTATTTATTTTATTTATTTATTTACATATTTATTTATTTATTTACTTACTAGTTAAATACTAGTAAAAAAATACTTAATAATTATAGGATGAATGATAAGCGTGTTTATTGAAATTTTCTATCGTCAACTACAGCCTCAAAGTTTCTTAAACTTTTATTCATATAGCGTAATTTAATCTTTACAGAATTCCCAGAATATAGTTCATAATTTCTTAAAGCGCTAACATGTGATGATTCCACCGATGGTACTCATTGTTTACGCATGCGTTTATCAATTGAACGTCAAATATGGAAAATGCAAACACTTTCTCAAAGTCACCAAATGTCAAGAATAAATCAACTTAAAGAATGAGATTTTCATGCTCTTTTAAAATATGTGTTTTACCGCTATAGAAGTTGCTTATATATACAACATGCATTAATTCTTAGTTTTGTGTTTATTTATTTCTGAATTAATGATTTTTTTTGTTTTACATGTTGTTTTAAAAGGCTGCTACGACTTTTTTTCAGTGAGAAATTAATTTTCATTTTCCAATGTCACATTCAATTTCTCACTGAAAAAATACACATTCCTACAGGAGACTTTTGAAATGACACGTATAATCTTATCAAATAATTTCATATATAAGTATATACATTTGTATATGAGAGGAATAAGACCAACAAATGAGAAAACTTCTAGTAACCATTTATCGTTTTAGTGCATAATAAGATTAGGTTAAAGTTGATTATCCTGACTGTAATCTCTATTTCAAATAAAGGAATTCTTTTCTTTGTAATATTATATCACCAGTCTATTATAATCGTTTTTTAAAAAAATAATTTGAACTTTTGAAATATATTCTTACACTTGTTACAAGACATTGTAAAATATGGTTATAGTTTAAATGACGTCAATAAGCATGAACTATAGATATACCCCCCCCCCCCCCCCCCATTATCTCATTTTCTGACGGATTGATACAGATCGACTAAATCAATTTGAAAACATACTTTTGTCTAATCATTTTAAAAAAAAATTGTAGATATTAACTGTAAGTTCTATAAATGTAGTGAGATGACAACTTACAAACTTGACAGTCGTAGATCTCTGTGATTCACTCAAACCAAACAATATTGGACGTTAATACACGACCCCCCCCCCCCACCACCACCACCACCATCACACAATTATTTCTCTTAATGACCGTAATTTGAGAGGAGAGAGGAACTTTCAGACCACTGTTTAACTTGCCTCCTGCACTAATAATTTTGTTTCATGAAAGCAAGGATGGAAAGTATTATATATGTTTACTCCTCTGGCTGAAAATAAAGCAACTGAACACGACTAAAAAGCTCCGTTTAGACCTAGGTATTTAGTACGAAGGAACATGATGCCTACTATATTAGACTTTTTTCTTAGATGCTTTTGATGTGCTAAGATTTCCATCAAGAGGTCGGTTACCCGCCTTTTTACCCAACAAACAAATTTCCTCCCTCTTTTCTCTCTTTTTTTTTTTTAGTTTGTCAACGTCTGTTTTCAGGCTCGTTTAAAAAACCTTTATTTATTTATTTTATTTGATATTCATTCATTGGTTTTGCTTGTTTGTTTTAAGCCCCCCCCCCCCCCCCCCTCTGTGAGAAACTTTACCACATGAAACGGTACCTTACCCCCCCCCCCCCCAAAAAAAATCTTCATAAGAAATAAAGCAAGAATTGGTAATTATTGACTAGCAAATAATACACATAAATTAATTCTTCCGAAAAGCGTAAATCAATGTATTCTTTTTAATTAAGGTGGTTCTATGAACATTACATGTACATGTATTTCGCATATTATGCAAGCTTTTACCGGTATTTGTTTAATTTTACTTGTTGGTACAAATGATGATTTGTAGGTTTGCAATTTACATACAGGTATACTGTAATTTTGTGAGTTTCTTGTTGTATATGCATACTTGTCTGAATGCTAGCAATTCAAAACATGTGTTTTAAAATTTTCTGTTTTCAAAAATCTTGGTAAAATCGATCAACATTAATTAAATTACATATGTGTACCTAAAACGACCATCAATTAAATTTTAAAAACTAGATAGATATTTTTAGAAAGATCATTTTCCCTAAGATATTTTTAATACTGCCCTCTACAAAAATTTGAATTTTTTTAATTTAAATTTTTATTATACAATTTTTTTGTAGAGGACAATAATGGAAAAGAGGACTTCCTGACTAGAAAACTTTCAGTTGTCCTTAAAAACGTTATTATGTGTTTTTTAAAGCTTTGGTGAGGAGAAGAACGAGTTATAATTGATAGAACCTGTTTCTGGTCCTTTTGATTGTAAATAAAATGTGTTCAAAACAAAACAGCAAACTGTTATAGTTCGCTTTGACCCGAAACTGACCTCAGAAAATGAACTTTGTTTGTTGATAGCAGTGGGACAATATTACACAATTTTAAAAGCACGGTTGCATATAATACTGCTTATTTTCTTAACATAAGCTGAGGGTTCAAAATACTGGCCAATCGACATACCACAATGACAACTTCTATTGTCAATTAACTAATAATCATGTAAGAGGGTGAAAAGCTGACAATGATTAGTGTCGCTGTATTTAGCGGGACTCAGGCTTCCATTGGCATGGTTAACTAAATTCACCACCCACCGGCCGCTAAGTATATACAATGTATATAAAGGCCGGATAGTGGACAGAACAAGCACAGCTAATTTAGGGCGTCAACATCGTTCACAGATATCGAAACTGCTGTATTTCATTTAAAGGTAGGGTAAGTGCGCACTTTGCTTCTTGACTTACCCATTGTAATTGAGAAATTAAATTTTTTTTTTTAATATTTAAATTTAAAAAAAGCAAGTATGATATACAGCGATAAGAAACATATTATGTATGTTAGAACGTTCTGGACTTAACTCATCAATATTTAAAATCTTTTCGTTGTAGAAGGCAAATTGTCCTAGCACCGAGTTCATTTTAATCAATTACCGTCTTGGATTGACATACAAATTGATAACATGGAGACCTACTTTAAGAAAACGTGCCAGGACAACGGAAATATTCACCTTGACTTCATCTGAGCAGGTACTCGTGGTCATACGAAGGACGAAGTGCTGTTTGCACACCTTGTCAAAAAAGGGGAGGAGTCTCCAATCTAAATTTACTTCTTGCTTCAAATGATAAAACTTTGATGATTACGTACATATTTAATTGTCAATCAAGATACAATATTCCCAGATCGACTTGCCATCCTCGAACGTACGGATCGTCATTCTGTGAAATGTGAACACGTATCAGAACATCACTGAGGAATAAAAACAAATTTTTAAAACTTTTAAAAATTTTAAAAATTTTAACCGGAAAAATTGAAAAAGCTGCAATTGTTGATAAAAATATGATTTCTTTCGTTTGAGGAACGAATTAGACAGAAATCAATTTCTACTTGGTGTGATAATGAATTACTTTTTCGGAATTACAAGGTTTTCATTCGAATACCGGATAAAATTATATAAGAAAAAAATACCAGCTGCAATTTAAATTTTATCATGTTTATTCAATCCAACATAAACTTGTATATACAAATTGATTTTCATATTTTGCATATGTTATGTACACTGCACAAATAAAGCTACTGCGTGTCGTTGCTATGTCCAAATGGTGTGTTTGTTGTTTATTGTACTTTCATTTGAAAGTAATGAATGGATTTAGAGTAGAACAGGAAAAATCGTCGCATGCAGTAGAAATTTTACTTTAACAGACTGTGATATTAACACTATAAACTGTGCACTCTCTGGACAATATTCTTCACTTGTGAAAATGAAATTTGGAAAAGAAGTGTTCACATGTTTCCGACAATGCGAAGATAAAGACACTCTTGTGGGAAAAAACGATGACGAAATTTTGGTCGCCCATCGCAGGAACGGTTTTTTGGTGGTAGGGATAGGTTATTCGGATACGCCTGGTTCTTGCTTGTATGAGGTGACACATTTTGCCAAGAGATTCAACTCCAAAAGATACAGCTGCAAAATTGCTTCCTAGTATTGGAAATTAACAGACTTTTTTATCTTTGAAAAAAAAACATTGAAAAAAAACTAACAAGCTCAAGCTTTTTGGTAACAGTATTACCGCTTTATCTATCTCTTATGCTTGTGTACTTGTTATCAACGCTTTTTTCTGTTTTATAAAAAGATGCAAGTTTTTTATTTGTAAAAATGGCAAGCTTTGTTACTTTTTTTATTTGTGTTGTTATCGTTTATTCGTTTTTTTTATGTTTTAATAAAATATAACAAGAATAATAATTTTATTCTGATTATTTTTAAGTCGTAAAACCAGCAAATTCAACAAGGAATTTTTTAACGATCATTCCCTTCATAAAAGGGTCAATTTTCGATGATGATAATTTGTATTTTCTTGAAGTGGTGATGGACACATAAAAAAGATAAGTACATTAATTTGGATTTACCTGATTTCAAATACAAACCAGACAAAATGTCTTAGCCAAAGACATGTTTTTTTGCAACCCAATCATTAAAATTAATTTCAATAAAACTTTTCTGAAGTACAAAATACAAAAACAGAAAACTACCAAAAAGAAAACTACCAAAAACACCCGTATAACTTCTATTGTTTCAACGATTAATAAAGAAATGGAATGGGATAATTTCATTCAAAAATTAATCTGTTGAACTTTGTCAATAACTTAACAAATTCTGGTTGGTCCAGACATTGTGCATGATGGCCTTGTGAAATCCACGCAAACACGACCTTCGTTACAGTCTTCGGCAAACAAAGGCTGGTCAGTGTCAGAGAATGGACAGTATAAAATTAAAGCGTATGTATTGGTTCAGGAAATTGGGACAATATTTTACCATAACTGGTACATGCATACTGGATGGTATTGATGACGTGCGAGGGCGTGGTGTCCTCATGTGTCCTCTTTGTAAGGAGCCGTCGTCTCGACTTCGTCACAGAAACTGAGAAATGTAAAACCTTTTAAATTTACTGATGTAAACATTTTAACTAAATCAAGATTTAAATCGATTAAGATACTTTAGAAGCAAAAACAGTGACGTAACACGAGGACGCATAAAATGTTTTAAGAACCCTCTATACACTACACACTAATTTTTTTAATCTTTAAAAGAGTTCTGATTTTTATGCATGCAATGAGAGTTATCTGCTCTTGATATAAAATACAATAAATTGAAATTTATAGCGTGTTATTCAGTTGTAATGATCTCAAGCTTCCTTACCATTGATTGATTGATTGTATACTGTTTAACGTCCCTCTCCAGAATATTTCACTGATATGGATGCCTAACCATTGAAAAGCTAGGGTAAATCAAACTACACACTTAATTTGAAAGTATATTTTTGTTCATCAATACTTTGGTGTCTTGAACATTTTTCATTGGGGTAAACGACACTTGTCCTACACTAAAAATTAAAATAAACTTAAGATAAGTTCCGCATTTACACCTTAATCCATTTATACGTTTTTCTTAATGTTCAAAAGATATTTTCCTCCAGTTTATTCCCCGTGGGGATCCGGATTAGAATAGGTCCTCAGTACCCCTTGCTTGTCGTAAAAGGCGACTAAATGAGGCGGTCATTCTGATGAGACCGTATAAACCGAGGCCCCGTGTCACAGTAGGTGTGGCACGATAAAGATCCCTCCCTGCTCAAAGGCCGTAAGTGCCGAGCATAGGCCTAAATTTGCATGCAGCCCTTCATCGGCAATGGTGACGTCTCCATATCAGTGAAATATTCTGGAGAAGGACGTTAAACAGTACACAATCAATCAATCCTCCAGTTTAAAGAGGGTCCTTAAAAAACTCATGAAAATTTATTTGTGATTCTGTATACTGGCCCTAAATGAAGCTTTTAGTCATATCCCTGAGCCCATTTTGACATATTCGTCAGAAATCACTCTGGTGCACTTAAAAAAATCTTCTGTTCATTCTCACGTTTCGTTCCAACACGAGATTAAAGATGGAAGTGCTAAATTGTGCAAGCAAGACTTATTCTAAAATCACGAATTGAGAAAAATCAAGTGGCTATAACAAATTGACGTATTTAAAGTACATGTGATAAAAAAAGACAAACTAAAGAAAAGTTGGTAAACACTGGTATACTGGTAGGGACGGACGTCTGGAAGTTGTCGGAGACTGATCGGGGATTTGATCACCAATCAAATATTTGTCAAGTAATAATACGGCTCGGCTGTGTTATGGATACATGAGTGAAGTTACGAGAGTGCACCGACTGGGACCCAGTCATGGCACGTTACTTAACAAAGTTATTTCTAATTCTGATAACGATGACCTTTTATCAGCTCCTTTTAAAAGATTTAACTACATTGGGAATGAATGTGCAGGTTTTTCAATGCATAGAGAAGGTTGTTCACACAAGAGCACGTGAAATGCTAGTACAATATTTCCTTGACCGCTTGATTGAAAAATGATCATGGGAGTACTGATATTTTAAAATGATTAATAACGAGGGATAAATTACATGAACGGATACTAACTGCAGTATGTAAATACTCGAAAATAAACATTATTTGAAATTGATTAAACCATGTTTTCAAAATTATCAGTAGTCTTCCTTTTATAAACTAGAAAGGAAGTGTTCGAACTTATGGCAAGTCAAACGTTGCAATATTCGATCTTTTCCATTTGTATTGTAAAATTTTCCATTTGTATTGTATAATTTTTATTTATATTCTACAATTTTTCATTTGTATTCTATAATTTCCATTTGTATTGTATAATTTTTCATTTGCATTATATATTTGACATTTGCATTGTATAATTTTTCATTTGCATTGTATATTTTTTATTTACATTGTAAAAAATCATTTGTATTGTATAAATTTTCATTTGTATTCTATATTTTCCATTTGCATTGTACAATTTTTCATTTGCATTGTATAATTTTTCATTTGCATTGTATAATTTTTCATTTATATTGTAAAAAAAATCATTTATATTGTATAATTTTGTATTTGTATTCTACATTTTCCATTTGTATTGTATACTTTTTCATTTGCATTGTATCCGAGGGATTGTTCATTTTGGTTTGTTATGAAGTTCGTTATGAAGTTTCATTGGTTTAATCTAATCATATATTAGTCTTGTCCCATGATCCCTTGCACTTCGTTATTATCCCATGATCCCTTGCACTATCGGGTATGTCCCATGATCACTTGCACTTCGTTATATTGTCCCATTATCCCTTGCACGTCGTTATCGGGGACCCCAATAACGAAGTGCAAGGTTTCATGGGACAAGACTATGGATAACACGTGTGTAAACTTCTAGTCTGGTTGAACAGAACTATTCAACTTCCCGGATCATCTCGGGTATTACCAAATCCGATATATGATTAGATTAAACCAATGAAATCCTTCTTAACAAACCAAAATAAACAATCCCAAATACAGAATACAGAAAAAAAAATTATACAATACAAATGGAAAATATACAATACAGATAAACAAGAGGACCATGGGCCACATCGCTCACCTTTGGTCATTCTGTTCTTTACCAGATTTCCCCGTTGTAATACATATTGTGACCCCATCCTACCCCATTGATCATAATTTAGATAATTTGAAATCTACACTACCCCAGGATGCTTCCACATAAGTCTCAGTTTTCTGGCCCAGTGGTTCTTGAGAAGATTTTTTAAAAAAAATTCCTATATATTTCTATGTAAAACTTTGATTCCCCATTGTGGCCCCGCCCTACCCCTGGGGGTCATGATTTGAACAATTTAGAATCTACACTACCTCAGGATGCTTCCACATAAGTTTCAGCTTTTCTGGCCCAGTGGTTCTTGAGAAGAAGATTTTCAAAGATTTCTCCATTATATTTCTATGTAAAACTTTGATTCCCCATTGTGGCCCCGCCCTACCCCCGGGGGTCATGATTTGAACAATTTAGAATCTACACAACCCCAGGATGCTTCCAGATAAGATTCAGTTTTACTTGCCCAGTGGTTCTTGAGAAGAAGATTTTTGAAGATTTTTCCATTATATTTCTATGTAAAACTTTGATTCCCCATTGTGGCTCCGCCCTACCCCCGGGGTCATGATTTGAACAATTTAGAATCTACACAACCCCAGGATGCTTCCAGATAAGATTCAGTTTTACTTGCCCAGTGGTTCTTAAGAAGAAGAAGATTTTTAAAGATTTTTCCTATATATTTCTATGTAAAACTTTGATTCTCCATTGTGGCCCCGCCCTACCCCTGGGGGTCAAGATTTGAACAATTTAGAATTTACACTACCCCAGGATGCTTCAACATAAGTTTCAGCTTTTCTGGCCCAGGGGTTCTTGAGAAGAAGATTTTTGAAGAAGACATTTGGCCCCGCCCTTTGAATGACCCCACCCTATTTTTGTCTTTTCTTGATTACATGTATCTCCCCTTGTGAGGGGAATTGGCCCTTCATTTTAACAATTTAGATTCCCCTTCACCCAAGAATGCTTTGTACCAAGTTTGGTCAAAATTGGCCCAGTGGTTCTTTAGAAGAAGTCGAAAATGTGAAAAGTTTACAAACGGACGGACAGACGAACGGACGGACGACGGACAAAATGTGATCAGAAAAGCTCACTTGAGCCTTCGGCTCAGGTGAGCTAAAAATTATACAATACAAATGATTTTTTTTACAATATAAATGAAAAATTATACAATGCAAATGAAAAATTATACAACGCAAATGAAAAATCATACAATGCAAATGGAAAATATAGAACACAAATGAAAAATTATACAATACAAAAATGATTTTTTTACAATATAAATGAAAAATATACAATGCAAATGAAAAATTTTAATACAAATGGAAAATTATACAATTATACAATACAAATGGAAAATTATACAATACAAATGAAAAATTATACAATACAAATGGAAAATTTACAATACAAATGGAAAAGATCCAATATTGCAACGTTTGACTTGCCATACTATGGTCCCAATAATCTTGTTTAAATAATAACAGTAATAAGTTCATATTTTTAAAAATAATTTCTGCATAAGAAAGTAACATATCATTTGTTTCAGTTTTGTTCTGACATACATGTATACAAAACATTTAAAATTTATATATCTTATATGCTAGGAAAGACACAAAGGTATAATTTAAAAATTGTTTTGTGAAATTCCGTTCAGATTAAACGACACGTTTCCACTGTACATCAAAATTTAACACAGAACTCTGATTTTTCTAAAGTAGTTGAACATGTTCACAATCAAAAGGTGAATGTCTAATATTTTCAATATATTTGATAACAAGGACTTTTACAGCTCAATGTATTATTTGACAGTTTTTAATTAGATTAAATTAATTAAATTCACAATTGTCATAAAAGTCTTCAGTTCATGCTCTACGGGTAAGGATTACATAGAAAATATGGAGGAAAGTGGCTTTTCTTTGGTGAGCGTATTGCACATTACACGACTATTTTGTAACATTGTGTGTAATGCAACATATATCTTACTGATTTGCTCAAAATCACCTGCAAAATTATATATTTTCGACTTGTAACTTAAAATACACAAAAATAAAAAAAAAAATAAATAAGATGGCTCACAAACTGCTTAGAAGTTATTAAATGTAGTTGTATTTAAACAAAGTATCACACAATCAAGGATTAAAAACGTTCAAATACCATGGCCTTCCGAATGAAATTCAACTGCTCCCGGTGGCTGATACTGACTTTGTAATGGCACATTATTATGCAGAATATTAACTCCCGTTTGTGGGTTATCGTTGTGTATTATTGCCCTTGTTGTGTGTTCATTATGGTTTTTGTGAGAGGTGGAAGCAGAATATGGGGGCACGATTTCTGAATAAGCCGGGGGTGGGTCCAACGAATAGGGTGGTGGCTTTAGTACGTGTTTGAAATGGGGTTCAAAGTGGCTACCTAAAACATAAAATAGACAAAAACTGATACCCAACTTAAAAAAAATAGGGTTACAAACAAGATTCTCGTAAACTTAATTGGATATGAATGTAAGCATGCTTAACTTACATACGTGCGAATAAAATTGACGAAAGCTTTTGACAAATAAGTTAATGACAATGATTATAAAAAAAAGTATCGTTTAAAGATCATATTTTACATATACTACGGTCGATACAATGAAAGTACATATGCAATATTCTATACTTAAAAAAATAAAATGTTTAATTTTTCGAGATTTTCATGAATCATTAAAAACGAATTGAAAACAAAATCAATTGATCAGATGAATATTACAGCCTATCTCGTTTTCTCTCTCCATCTATTTGATTTGTACTCACCGCTTGAAATAATGGCTGCGTTGTTTTGACTGAGCCCCCTCCCTAGAGGTCTTATAATGCTTCTCTTTCGTTTGCTCTTCTGTATGCAGCAAAATATTACACCGGATAATACACCCAGAAACACCAGGCCTCCAAAGGAACATCCCACAATTAGACCGATACTGTACATGTAAAATAAGATCCAACATAGTAAGGCTCTTATTTTGTTATTTTATTTTTACAGTGGATTGATATCAATTCACTTATATATATTAGTCAGAAATTTAAGTTTTCATAGAATTTTGTTCTTGAAAATCGTGCAATTGTAAAAATTATAACCCAGAAGAAAATATTATTTGGCGAAATCGGTTTGAAAAAAGAAATCCATAATAAGAACCCTGGCTTTATTCTTTCGCACTGCACCTAGATTATATTAATGTTGCATTATATAATAATTAGTACCACGGTGAAAATATCTATTATATTAACTTATCAGCACAGCAGTATTGTTCATATGCATATCCACAACAGCCATGTTCACAATAGATATTGCCCCGGAATGAATTAAGTCGTGTTTGATCACTGTTACGGCATACTTCCCATGATGCAACCTCTGAAATAAAATTACTATGACATTAATGTAATGTTTATATTTTTTCTTGGGACATAATTTGAAATTGAGAACTTAATTAATGTAAAAATCAAATACAAGTACCAGTGTTGTAGAGTAGGATTTTTCCCAGAAATTGTACTCTTGAGTAAGAATTTTCTAAGCAAAGTATTTGGCTAAGCCAAACATAAAGTTGTTTCACTTAAAGACTTATCACTTCTAAATTGAGAGAGGCACCTCAATTAGCAAAGATATCTGAATTTTTAATGAAAAGGGTTTATGTATTTATCATTATATAAAAAGGAATTTCGTATTTGCCATGTTATACCGGTATTCAAATTGTACAATGTAACGAACATTCTGAAGGTATATATAGCATTATCAATACTTGTCCCCTACCAGCAAGTGTAATATAGCTAGAAATCGAATAGCCATTATTCCGCGCGTTAATATTCATTGAACAAAAAAGCAAAAGCAAAATTGAAATTCACAAATCAAAAATTAGCTCAATAGCTCCATTCTTTTAGAAAGCATTGCGGAAAACCCTTGAAATTAAAAAAAATGAAATGTAATTTCATAAAGAAGCTAGATCTCTGATGCGGAGTTACATGTAATGCTAATGCAAACTTGAACTTTAACCCATCAAAATCAGCCCGTCCATATCAAACTGCGGAAAACCATTTAGGACAGTTAGAGGGACAGCTAGACAGACAGACAGACTCAGAGTAAACTTATAATTCCTCTGGTTTCACTGATTTATTTGACCTAAAAATTATTTCAAAGTTGCTGAGAGAAATGAGATTTTCATTTTCATTCTTTGTATACATATATTCAATACATCCAGTCACCATTATAAGGAAGGGACACTTATTATAATGTACCGCCCCTCTCCCCTTCAAAACATAAGTACAGCAATTATATTTTGTTGGGGGAAAATTGGCTCTGGGGAAAAACACTCTATAACTAAAACACAGAAATCACACTCGATAACTACTACATAGAGTAGGATTTTCCTTTTGAAAATTGACTCTGGTGTGGGATTTCCGTAGGGAAATCCTACTCTAGAGGCAGTTTTCCGGGGGAAATCCTACTCTAGAGGCAGTTTTCCGGGAGGGATCCTACTCTACAAGACCGGTAGATATTTTTGTCTAAAATAAAAGCGAAAACATGTCTTAAAACTAATGAATGGTGAGTAATTTGCTTCTTCATGCATATTGATGCAATAACAGAACATGGTGTACATAGTATGATTAGCCACCTAAAAGATTAGTAGTATTGCGAGTTAACATTTTAAAACCAAGGCATGGGGACTCAAAAATCTCTAAAAGACAGCTCATTATATTATTTAAAATTTTGTTTAATTTACTTCCTAGTCAATGTGAAAAAGCCTAGCTTACCTGCAGATATCCAGAAATTCATCAACCCCAAAATGAAAGTTTCAAATGACATTTTTGTAAGCATTTTATCGACAAGTAATTATCAAAACACAGACAACAGATTTCATTATCCAAAAGCACATTTCCTGAAATGATGGGACGTTTAAAGACTGTCACTGGAGGACTTCTTATCTACGTTCCAATAGTTTAAATTTTCTATGGAAGTAAATCCTTCAAAATGGGTTTTAAAATTCGGACGTTTACACAGAGGCACTGATACCCGTATTTTTGGAAAGGTTTGAGATCCGAATATTGACCCGTTTTTCGATCACAATTTACAACCTGAAAGACTATTCAAGTAGGAAAAATCGATCTCTACTTTTTTGTTTTTATTTCTATATCCAGTCCACTAGCATTCAGCTGCCTTAAATAACTACTTAAATCGATTTGCTGTCTTGGAACTAAATGCAGAATTTGATTTTGGACATGTTCTCCCGAAATCATAGAAATTGATTCACGGATGCGGACAGATCTGTTTATTTTTTAGATATTGTACTTGAAAAAGACGTGAAAAATAATCTAATAACCATGCTTTATGATAAACGTGATAACTTTTCAATCATCAACTTCCCTTACTTATGCAGTAATATACCTTCATCAGCTGCGTACGGGGTTTATATCTCTCATTTGATAAGTATGCGAAAACATGCTCTACGTATGAACAATTCCTAAAACGAGGTAAATTATTGACAAACAAGTTGACGAAACAAGAATTTCAGCAGTCTCGTTTAAAGTCATTATTTCGTTAGTTCTATGGTCGATACAATTACCTTGTCAGTAAATGCAATTTATCATTGAAGGATATTGAGATTTAAAGAACATTATTCAATATCAAAGTCCATCAAACATTACAAATTAGGACTAGAGCAAACATGTACCTCCAAAACATCAGAGGTGGGATCAGGTACCATGGAGGAGTGAGCATCCCCTGCCGACCGGTCACACCCGCCGTGTACTCTTTGTCATGATCAGGGAATAACGGAAAATTCCGTCGTCAGTTCGGTGTTTAAAGAATGGACTATCAAATAGACTAAGTATGAAAAACGTCAGTCAGCATTTGACTCAATGATAAATTATATTTGCTGACGAGGTCATTGTATTGACCACTGAACTTTATACAGTTATTGACTGGGTATGAGGGCAACATATGATTTGTTGGACCTGAAGGTGAAAATGTTGCCCGAGGCCGCAGGCCAAGGGCAACATTTTCACCTTCAGGTCCAACAAATCATATGTTGCCCGAATCCCAGTCTATAACTGTTTTGTTATACCCTTCATTGCTCACTTAAGATTGTTCAATTTAATCAATACACTCTATCAATTATTTTATATGGAAAATTATGGCTTCTTCAGTAAATATAAAACATCAAACTGAGAAAGAACAAAATCAATTATATACCTATTATATCACAAAAAATATTTATCACAAGACCTACTCTTCCCTTCCGTGCTGTTAGCAACAACTCTTGTAGCTCTTAACTTCGGCTATTTTCGCGTCGCCGATATTGAACGATGATAAATATACAGTTATTGACTGGGTATGAGGGCAACATATGATTTGTTGGACCTGAAGGTGAAAATGTTGCCCGAGGCCGCAGGCCAAGGGCAACATTTTCACCTTCAGGTCCAACAAATCATATGTTGCCCGAATCCCAGTCTACACTATAACTGTTTTGTTATACCCTTCACTGCTCACTTAAGAGTGATCAATTTAATCAATACACGCTATATTATCAATTATTTTGTATGGAAAATTATGGCTTCTTCAGTAAATATAACACATCAAGCTGAGAAAGAAAAAAATCCATTATGTATCTATTGTATCGCAAAAATTATTTATCACAAAATATACTCTTCCCTTCTTCCTTACCTAGCTGTTAGCAACAACTCTTGAAGCTCTTAACTTCGGCTATTTTCGCGTCGCCGATATTTCACGATGATTAATTAATTATGACGTAACAGACGAGTGACGTTGCGGTCTAACAATTCTTATGTAAGACCGGTCAATAGTGAAATTGTTAGACCGACGTAATAAACAGTTCTTTTGTTGGACTTTTTATCAGTAATAAATAAATAGAATGATATTTATAAGGGTATAACAATTAATTGTGACGTAACAGACGAGTGACGTTGCGGTCTAACAATTCTTATGTAAGACCGGTCAATAGTGAAATTGTTATACCGATGTAATAAACAGTTCTTTTGTTGGACTTTTTATAAGTAATAAATATATAGAATGATATTTATAAGGGTATAACAAATTGAAATGATGACTTTAAATGTGGCTGCTGGTATTCTTGTTTCATCAACTTGTTTGTCAATAATTTACCTCGCTTTAGAAATTGTTCATACGTAGAACATGCTCTTGCGTATCGAATCAACTGAGATATACATGTATAAACTCCGTATGCAGGTGATGAAGGTATATTGCTGCATAAGTAAGAGAAACTGACGAGGAGTCAAATGCTAACAGATGTTTTTCATTTAATTGTTAATCCATTATTTATACACTGAATTGACGACGGATTCTTCCGTTACTTCCCAATCATGACAAGGAGCACACGGCAGCTGTGATCGGTCGATAGGGGATGCTCACTCCTCCATGGCACCTGATCCCATCTCTGATGTTTTGGAGGTCCGTGTTTGCTCAGCTCCTAGTTTGTAACGTTTTATGGACTTTTGAATACTGTTCGCTATCTTCATCTTTCATTTATTTGTGAAAAGAAAGATGTAAAACGCAAATCACCTGTTGGTAAAAACTTTGATTTACTAAAGTGATAACTTTGATTTACTGCGATAACTATAAAAGTATAGTGATCATTTTAAACCTTCGATTTACTATAGAGAGTCTTTTGACACTTTGACTTACTATAGTTAACTATAACTTTTTATCAATTCTCCAGTTTGTAAATGCAGACATTTGTTCACTTTTTCTTGACTAACATGAAAAGATGATTTATAAATACACGAACCAAATGAATATTAAAAAAAACAAACTTAGAGACTTCGTGATTTATTGATAATATCAATCAAAATGACAGGGTTTATAAACAGGTTTGAAAGACTTTAAAGCTACATAATCAAAATCTATCGTTAAAGATATATATTTCTATATAGATTACAAAAAAGAGAAAGGAAAACTTTGGAACTTATACAAACATTCCTTTCATTTTATTATTGTTTTACAAAACACTAATCATACAAGAGCTAATCAGAAGAAATATGGATATATCCTCGCATTTATATTACAGCTACTACATGTACATGCGAAGATGAAAGATACTGAATTTTTCATCTCATCTTGTCACTTTAATTTGATATGCATTGCAACTTACATAAATTATGTTCATATCTGTTATTATTCAGTATAAAAACAGAACAAATGAAGGCAGTTGAGAAGGAAATTAACATAGCATTGGATTTTTAAATACAACTAAATATGGATCCTAAGGCTATACTTTTGATTGCAGTATTCTTGAATGAATTGCACAGCAACATAAAATGTTCGAAACATTTTCATTTATTCTCTTTGAGGTCTTAGACCACAACAAAATTTGCTGAGCAAATATTGCAACAAGCATTCTATTCACTCCTATCATAAAAAAAAATATTTAGAAAAAAAAAAGATGAAATAAAGATGATATCTTGAATTTTTCAAATTTGATTTCTTCCATGCAATAATTTACAACAAATAAAACAAGAAACAAAATTGGTCATTTATGCATTTCTGTAGGGAAAAAACTTGCCATTCTATTGGGTAATTTATTTAGAGTAGACCTGTTATATTTTTAAAATAATTTTATCTAGAGGACATAGTTTCTTTTCATGAAAGTGCCAAGCACATTTTCCACATTGTCTTTTGGCACAATCGCATAAAATGATATTTTAAAGAGATATGTAAACAATTTTTTTTTCTGCTTTACAAATTGAAACTACTTAATTTCGTAGACTAGAATTTTATAAAAATTCAAATAAGTTTTTAATAAAATTAAAGTGATGTTTCAAAGTTAATGATATATATTTAAGTTTTCTATTCAAAACTCATAAATAATGAAGCATATATAACAAAATTGTAAATACTGCAAAGGTTACAGTAAAAAAATGTATAATCAAATTATCTCCCATTCCATCATTTGGTTGAACATGGTTAATAATATCTTGATATTACAATAAAAGCATTTACAGACTTTAAATCAACAAGAAATCAACCTCTTTAACAACAGACGAATGACAACTAAAAAGATAAATTTACCCCAAAAATATACATATATTTATAAAACAGTATGATTTCCAAACTCCCTAAACATGTAAAAACAAATATGATTGATTTTATCAACCTTAATCATCATCAATATCAAGTTTTAAAAGTTCACGAGAAGAATATACTATAACATTACAATATGAATAAATTGTGTAGATTATTATAATCTCTGACACATAACATTGTATTAAACTATGTTGCATGTTTTTTTAATTCTCTGCATCAAAGGAACAGACGAAAATCCAATTATATTTTATGCATGAAGAAAAATTATCCTTCTATGCTATATCAAAGCAAACTTAGCAATTTATCTGAAGGGTAGGCATTGACTTTCATTTTTAAATGTTAAATATAATACAATCACACAATTCTTGATCTTCTCATGCCTGTGAAAACCAAGATAAAATAGCAATTTTTGCCTGACGAAGTGCATTTTTTTGTTTGTGTAATACTGACCAAGTCAATCAGTTTCTAACATAAAAACAAAAGACATCCCTATTATTTCATTATGCATCTGAATGTCCGCCCCCTTCTTTGAGTTTGTTCAGATTGTATTCAAAGTTCTTGCAATAAAACAGCTGAACCCCCACCACGGCAAACTTCTCTGGTGTCAGGAGCCTAATCAGCTTCTCCTGAAATGAAAATCAAACCAAACATGTATCAGTATCACCTATCTTATCTTAGAAAGTAGATATCCCTCGTATTTACAATATTTGTGTTCAGGATGCAGAAGTGCAATTGTACTAATATACTGAACTTCTTTTCTTTTGTCCTCACCCTCCATGGGAAAATCAAAACAGTTTTAACTAACAAATTGCATATATATAAATACAGCTGTATAATACACTTTGGCAGGTCGAAAGTTTAAGCTTATATTAGGGCAAGCTAGGCCTACTTTGTTAGGCATTTTTCTTTAAGTAGCATCCATCGGCAGGTGCTCTAAAGCTAAGTTTGACTGTGTGAAGCAGAGCAAGGCTAGCTGCAATAATGTAGCCCTCTCCTTTTTTTTTTTTTTGGGAGAGGACTACAACTCCTTAGGATCTCCGTAATGGTGCAGAGCGATTCGCTCCCGCACGGATTTCGGCTTAAATTGTTAGTAAGCGGCTATTTTATTTATATGTCTTATCTGGACTTCCAAAATGTAGTTATCCCAGACATAAATCGATCCAAAAATATACAGAACAATCCATATATCAGTATTTTTCGTGTATGTCAACATCACAACTTAAATTTATCCGCCATGTTTACTGACCTTGACAGATTTTATTTCGGGACAGCAGAGATTAAGGATCTATAGGGAGCGGATTTCTTTGGAATTACCTTATTTTAAGCTTTAATATCGGTGTTTACAAAAAAATGAAACATGGAATGATTTTATTTATCGATGTTTAGTGTTACTATTCATCACAATTATTTATAAACATTGAAATTTGCTTTCTTGAGTTGTTCTAAATTTCAAGCTCAAGTCTCACTACGTCACGCGTGAACTGTCATGGCTGCTGAAGTAAAAGCACAGATTTATTTTACATGGTTTTCGCGTTTAACGAGCTTTGATGTCGACAGTGAATAAAATTTTAATCTTTTTAAATGTAAGTTGAATGTTAAAACAATTTATTTTGCCTGCAGTTGCCTGTATTTAAAAGATATATTTGCACCATTATGAAGATGCTGTGGAATTGTAGCCCTCTCCAGAAAATATCAGATAAAAGAAATCGGAGAGGGCTACATTATTGCAGCTAGAGCAAGGCATGATCATGCCCTCACCTCCAACTCAATACTAGCTCTATTCCTCTCTAATATCACATAGGCTTCTTGTAGTGCAGTTAACCCTATACATTGCACACAGTATCTACAATGAAAATTCCTATGTTTAAGAGAAGTTTAATAAAAAGTTAATTTACCTCTAGCTTCATATTGTCATCTGTCTGATCCAGGAGGTCGTATGCCCTCGCAAAAAGTGGATAACCTAATACCCCACAACAGTGTCTGAAAGTAAAGATGTGAATGGAGAATTTCATTACTTCTTGATCATCCAAAAACTTTCATTTAATAGCAAGTATACTGAAATATAATGTATGAGGGTTGTCCCTAAAAGTTTTAGAAAGGAAAAACAATGTACATGTAGTTTTTCTTTGTTTAATAAACTTTCTTTCCTTGTCAGAGTAAAAGCTATATATAAATTTCCTTTTAATTAATACATGTACATGTAAAAGTATAACACTTACTTTTGCAGCTGTTCAATTTGATGTAACAACATTGATTCTGGGTCCATTTTCGTGGAATCTGAAAAAAATCATTTCATTTTTCATACATACGTTTTACAATACTCAGTACATTAAACTATTGTGTATCTTCAAAAATACAATGTAACTCTTCTAATAGGGACATGTGCATCTTTATCATTTGTTTATAAATATGTTTCCTTGCCACCTCCCTACTCCACATAAAAAGTAAGAAGTAAATTAGGGAGATTTTTTTCCCATTCAGAAACATTTGCAAATATGAAGGTAAAAACAGTGAAAAGGCTTTTATACACGTGAATTCCAATAAACAGACCTTCCTTTGGGTAACATATTTGAACTATAAGTTTCCCAGTCATTTGCAAAATCTTAGGAAAATTTTACCTTGGCCAAAACTTTTTTTTAAATATATAAGGGGTGTTAAGAAAGTTCGTTCCATGATGAAATATTTTTTAAAATTTCAAAGTAGTGCTTCAATAAAGAAATATATTTCCAAGTCTGATAAAATCACAATAGTGTGCTTTAGATTTATAGCAGTTTATTTCTAGCAGGAAATGATGGAATTTTCCTTTCATATGAAAATATATGTGACATCTGTAAAGCACTCGAATGATGAAATGCTGGTCATTTTGAGTGAAAAATAAAGGATAATTTACTTTTGTTTCTTCACATCTTATCTTGCACCAGACAAGCTGACGAGCGTAGGTATAAGAAAGATAGATCACTTTTCAAAAGAGCAGGTTTGTCAATTTGAAATTTTTCACCGACTTGATATAATTTTTGCATAGTATTTGAAAGGATATTTTGACCTGTGTGCTTAATATATGTCACAAATGTGCGTCATCCCTGATATTTCTGAACAGACATCATCAGTTTAATACCTGCCCTCTCCTTATTGATTCAACAAAAGACAGGTAAAACCTTATCAGTAGCAAGAATGAACTGTGTAAGCATAAAATATCATAAATTGTAAATATATTCTCATTGTATTTCTTTTCGAAAATAAAAGAAAAACGTGGAATGAACTTTCTTAACACCCTTTATATAGTTTTAACTTTTAAGCATTAAATAATTGGAATCTATTAATTAATCTATTAAATAACTTTAAGGAAATATAGACAGAGATGTATTTATTATAAGTATTAAAAGAACCTATCAATTAATTGTTACAGAATCTATATCACTCAGTTAAACATTTGCAATAGAATCAATCATTCACATTACTAAATTCATACCTGGTATACTTAGAGCCCCTTCACTTCCTCCTTGTCCATCCTAAAATATAGAAAATCAAGAACTGCATTAAAACTATCAAGTATTTTAATTTAATTTTAAAGAAAAAAACCAAACAACCCAATTACTGTTTGAAACAAATCAATTTTTTTTCATTATAATAGAAAAAATAATGAAGTAATGCAAAGCAGATTTATCATGCATATGAATCCTAACTGATTCAGGTGAAACAAATAATTTTTTTTTCATTATGATAGAAAAAATACTGAAATAATGCAGAGCTGACTTAACATGCATATAAATCCTGATGCAGGTAATGATTCTTTGCCTTAACATTCAAGTAATCTATTATTACTAAGTAATACAGTGTATGAGTTTGGTCCTTACCTTAGGAAACACCTGTGTCAGGGTACGGACTACTAAATTCATCATTTTAAGTGGATCAGGAGGAGGTGGGAGGGCAGCTCTTGCCTGATCCGCCTTCATTGTGCTCTCAAGGTCATCATCTTCCAATGAAATGTCTGAGGCACTAGTCACTGAGGCCTTGGCAGGAAGGTTCTTGGCAAATTTTCCTTTTTCGTGTAAACCTTTCTTCATGGTCTTGTCTGTAACTGTCTTTTCCATGTCATCATAGTTCGAGGCCAGAAATTTGTTGGAAACATTTGCTGTATTTAAAATAGAGCTAAATTTATCTGCATTGGCAGCTTTGTGTTTCTTCTTCTTTTTCTCCTGGTTTGCCTTTTCATTGAGTGTTTCCATCAGCTCTGACATGTCAAACTTATCCTTCCGAGACTGATTGAGGGCACCAATAAGAATGGGGTTCCCTCTCATAGACATGCCCCCAGCTCCCTTACCCTGAGGTAAAGTAGGAGGTGTCTAGAAGACAGAGAGATTTACAGTCAATAACAAAATATAGCTTAAAACAGGAATTAAATATCAGCATTCAATATTTTATTGCATACTTTCACAAATATTATGAGAATGTTAAATAAGTACATGTAATGCCATTTTTAAAATAAAATGTTTGCTTTCCCTCTCCCGACTCGAGTAAAATTATTAGGTCAGTAGATAGGGAATGGGAATCTTTTTTTCCAGAGAATTTCAACTAGGGCTGGATCAATATATCGGTAATCGGTATATATCGATATTTTTTAGCAATACGATAACCGATACAGAGATGCTTGCATATTGCTCGATTATTTCAACGTTTAATTAACAGAAAGAAAAACGTCAAAATGACTAATATTACAAACGACTTATCTAAAATCGTTTAAACGCATGTCAACATGTCAAAAGTGTAGGGTCGCTACGTAAAAGTTAGCAGCAAAAAGGCAAAATGTAATTATATTTGTCAACAAGAAGTCGCAAGTTCTGGTGGAACAACGAGCCTATATATTATTACCCATCACAGACGGCATCGCAACATTGACCTGTTTGCTACTGTGAAACTTGGAGGCAATTCCGGTAGGTAAAGTGGCGCGTCGAAAAAAAGTCATGGAATGTAAACCGATAATAAGATATCAATCAGAATTTTTAAGTCATACTTTATTTCAACTCAAAGCATTTTGGAAGAATATTTTATCTGCCATTAAATTCCCATTACTTCCACGAATACGACGTCAAGTGAAGTATCAACACAGTCAAACAGGTCAATGTTATGATGTCGTCTGTGGCTTCAGAACGAGTATTTAGCACCAGTGGCAACATATTCACATGCACAAGGGCTTGTCTGAAATCTGACTAAGTGGATCGATGCTTTGATTTTTCTGAAGAAAAATATGGGCAACTAACATTAATTTGTCATACACTTATCCATTCAAATAGAATTAAAATAAACAAGGATTTAAAATGTTTTATTATTGTAAAGTTATGCTTTAATAAAAAAGTACTATCACCTCTTTAACAGTTTAAAAAAACATGCAAAAAATAGTAAATTCACATTTGTCTGTATCGGCAATATGTATCGCATATCGCACCTCTGTATTGCAATATGTATCGCATCGAAAAATTTATTTCAATACCCAGCCCTAAGAAATATGTTTGTTAATGGAATAAGATTAATAAAAAGAAAAAAATATTATGCCTTTGAATGTTAAATTAAAGTTTTGAATCAGGCCATTTTTGGTCTATCTGTCGAGAAAGGGCAACTAAACAATTTTTTAAAGATGGTCTAATAATTAAAGATTACCATCCACATCTTGGTCAAAGTCATTCATACATGTATGCGAGTCAAAATTTAAAAAAAAAGATCAATATTAAACTATATTTGGAATAATTTAATTTCAAAATTACTGGGCCATACACAGACTTTTTTAAAACAAGAATAAAATCATATATTCGGTAACCCTCATTACATGAAACATTTTGTATTTAACAGGCCGCCACTAAGACTTATGCATATTATTGTTGAAAAGATAACTTGAGTTCTGTAAAATATTCTAGGTAACTTTTGCTCTCAGTCATAATTTTCCATCATTTAAGTTTTTCAATCCATTGAAAAAAATATTTGTTTGAAATAGCCTGTTATAAACATACCTTTGGTATCACATGATTTTTGAAGAGGACATCATTCAGGAGATCATCCGCTGACGGTCTCTTGTCTGTTTCCCGACACATCATTCTCTCCATCAGGCTTATCAACTGAGGACTATATTTATCCTTAGGCATGGGAGGTAACTGTAACAGAGGTTATACATCAGGTTAATCAACTGAGGACTATATTTATCCTTAGGCATAGGAGGTAACTGTAACAGAAGTTATACATCAAGTTAATCAACTGAGAACTATATTTATCCTTAGGCATGGGAGGTAACTGTAACAGAGGTTAATAATAATAATAATAATAATAATAATATTTTATTTAAAGAGGGTAACCCGATTAGTGCAAGCACTAGTCTTCCTCGGAGCCCTCCATACATGGATAGTACAATTATGAATACAACAGTACAACGATCAGAAAAAATACAAGTATATAACACACGTGAATTACATTTGAAAAAAAGAAAGTATATATTATCAAACATAGAAACAAGTTACAAATTAAGAAACGTTGCGTTCATTAATGATAAATTTTTCTACATTTTGACGAAAGGATTACACACCAGGTTAATCAACTGAAGACTATAGGAGTCTTCAAACCTTTCAAAATCTGCCAGTACCCAGTACTTTTACCTGACTAAAATCATGATCGTGGTGGCTTGTATTCAGCCAAAATCTTTTTTGGAGAAAGACAATAAATAAACATCTCTTTAACAGAATACACTGTATGACATTTAAACATAAATTTTCAATTGGAATAATTTAATGCAAACATGTAGTTTCTGAGAACAAGATCTTCTCATGATCTTGATCATTTGTGTTCTGATATGGTGCTAATCAAAAGTAGATACATACCTGACCATGTACAATTTTAAACACTAGTTGCTGCATAAGTGTGGCATCAAACGGTCGTTCCAACGTAGCCATTTCATAAACGCACACACCCATAGCCCAGATGTCACTCTGCAGAACATATAAATGTTGTAGTTAAATAGGAATTTGGTATCTTAAATTACATATATTTGAAAGTCTCTTCCATTTTAACCCAGTTCTATAGAGCTAAAGGTAAATATTTGACTGATACAGTATTACAATCAAGCCACAGCAATTGAAAATATAATTATTAGGGATGGCAATTTCTAACCGGTTAATCGATTAATCGGTCGGAACGATGCTAATCGGTTAGAAAATTCGTAATCGGTTAGTCGGAAAAAATAAAATTTATGTAAATTTGAGCGCAGTTTCCTTAAAATCCCCTACTTTTTTTTTTAGAAAGGAAAGCGCTGCATGCATATTTTTTGGTGTTTTTACACATCTTATAATTAAGAATATTTGGAGGAAATTATAGCTCTCCTGATTGAGATGACAGGATAATTGGTCAATTGGTAAAGAGTTAATTACTGTTTTTATAACTTCATGCCATTACTCAGATCGTCAAGTTGTTTTTTTAATGATATATCACCGTAAGCACTTTTAATTATAGAATGTATATATTTTGCCGTTATCTATTAAATTATATTATCATAAGGACGTTGTAAATTGTAAATTAAAAGAAAGTTCAGACATTGACTACATGTAGTTCTGATTACGGTGACAGCGCATAATTAACTTCTTTAACATCTGCGTTGGAAAATTATCCCTGTCTGATTTCTCAAAGCAAGATTCATGGTTAACTTAATTTTTTCTTGTCTATTGAAATTGAAATAAAATATTCTCTTATGTACATAAAATTTCCCGATCAAAATAATAAACAGAATGTAACTTCTTACATCTTTTTAGCCTTTTTGTGTATATGAAAAGAAAAGTCAAAATGTATTTATCTTGATACGACTAACCGGTTAATCGGTCGGAACGTTTTGCGGTTAACCGATTAGCAATTCTGCAATCGATTGCCATCCCTAATAATTATAGAGTGAAAATGGTCTCCACATTAACAATTTTTACAGAAACCAAACACATTCTTAACATAATAAATACATTTAAAAGAGTTTGGCAACTGCAGAAAATCTTGCATTATCCAGCTAGTAAATAGGTTTCTTCATTTCAATGTTTATGCTAAATTTACTATATATAAATCAATTTGTTAAATGAGAAATGAAAGCATTGCTTCAACATGTTCAATTGGTATGCAAATAAAATTCTACACACCCCAGAAAAGAAGTAAACGTCATGAACACCAAAACTTAAAAATTAAAACAAATAGGATTTATGCACATGTACATAGATCTTTCTTGTATTGTATGCTGCCTGCAGTTTTACACCACCAACCCCCCTCTCTTTCTCTCTCAGTTCTCTATTCCTGTGTTTTTAAAGATACATTTTTTTATGTATATACATATATTAATGACAAAATTTGTCTTTTGCATCTGTTGATAAATACCTTGGAGTCATAGGGTTTGCAGGCAAAGATTTCAGGACTCATGTAGTAGGGGCTGCCACAGAAGGTCACAGCTTTGGCTGTGGGTCTCTCCAGCACTCTGTAAATACCAAATAATAATACTGTAGACATGTACATTGAGAAATCTGAGAATTCAAGATATTGAAATCAAATTAAGTAAGGAAAATATGATATAAATATTCCAACTCAAGATATTTAGTACAAGATATTTATAAATACTGAAAATTAAATAACTCAAAGCCAAGGGTGTTTGTAAGCAGCTCAAATATTTGACCCAGTTAGAATGAAATGTTCTTGCTATAACAAAATTATGATCATACTTGGCCAATCCAAGATCACCAAGTTTTGCTGTCATATCTTCACCCGTCAGGAAGACATTCTGTGTTTTCATGTCCCTGTGTAAAACATGCCTGCTGTGCAGGTACTGTAAAGAAAATAAATACAGCATGTACAATTATAGTAATGAGTATGGTACATACATTTTTTATATGCCAGCATAAATATTGATTAATTAAAAGAAATAAAGTCTATAAAGAAAATGTTCAGTTAAAAGAGTAGTTGAACACTTGTTATGTACAATATACAACATTTATACATATACAGTATGCACTGTTAGATACTGTACAGTATGTATCATGTACAGTACAATATATACATGTACACTGCTCTGTATAATATATACTCCTGTTTTATATCATATAAACTGTAAGGTACAATATACATTTCTTTTGTTTTTTTTATTTTACAGTGTGTACCTTTAATGCACTGCATATCTGTCTAAACCACTCTACAATTCGTTGTTCATCTAAAGATTTCCCACACCTTCTTTCCAGAAATTGTGACAAATCGCCCTGATCACAGAATTCCGTCACTATACATAATGCACCTTTGTCTTGAAATGATGTTACTGCATGTAGAATAAATTCATGCTGTAAATCTGTCAGCAAACTTGCTTCTTTTTCTGCCAGTTCACGTTCATCATCTGTTGATTTTGTCAGGTCAATTACCTTCATAGCATACTGAAAAAATATATTTTGCCAAATTCATACATGACATACATTCATCTAGTTTATGATTGATGGGACAAAAGAAATGTACACAAAATTTGACAATTACAAATCCAGAAGAAATTGGACAAGAGGCCCAATGGTCAAAAAGCTCAGCTGAGTCCCCTTGGCCCTCATTTAGAACAGTGCCTCAACTTTATCATCAGTGATTCATATTGATATTAGTCTGAATTGAAAAAAACTCAATTCTGGATGTTTGCATATTAATATTACAGGTATATATACTACATATAGTACTGTAAACCAACTTTTATTTGTATGCGAGAAATATTCCTGATTTCCGCGATGTTCTTTTACTCCCGAATATTAATCAAAACAAACCAATCATTTTGCCTAGTATTTGAAGAGAATGTTTCCTCAGTAAAAAAAAATGATCAACGTGGATTGATTTTAAATCGATGAATGGCGAATAAAAGATAATGCAAATAATAGATTGTTTACAGTATATAACTAAGGCAATATCCCCCCTCATGATCTAGATTATGATTATCTCTTCTTTCAAACCAGGCACCTTGCTTTTGACAAGATTTGTTAGAACTAGCCAGGTTCTGGATATCAATAGTTTACAGATAGACTTAGTGTTACAGACAGTTCTGATAGACAAATGCAGAACAAACTGTGTTTAGCAAAAACGAAAATTGCACAGAAATGATATTTAACTAAGGACAAAGGGACAATGGATTTACTTGTCTATAGCCACCAAAATGGTCATTATCTTGTTATTCGCTCCGCGGTGTGAATAATATTTGACGTTGTTGACGTTACGTTTTTCTTCATATTTATACTTGCCTTTGAACATGTTGAAAGAATACATAAATACTTTCAGATATTAGCCTTTATTCCGTAGTAATTTTTTTATCACGACTAAATTTCATTACAGGGCATATTGGATAAAATTTTAGATGTGAGAGAATTATTCAATGCAATGTATAGCGTTTATTCCGTGAATTTCTCTTATACGCATGAGGAAAACGGCAACTGTTATCAATTAATTTACTCTCTATATATACTATTTAACGGAATAAACAGCTAGTATTTTCATAAATGATTTCATGTTTATACATTTATCAGGGAATAAAATGTTATATATTATGTTTGTTTTATTACGAAATAAACTACATGGTTTATTGAGTAAAATTTTAAATGTGAGAGAATTATTTAGTATATATAACGTTTATTCCGTAAATGTCTCTTATATGCATGAGGAAAACGAAAACTGTTATCAATTTAATTTCTATATTATTTAACGGAATAAACAATATTTTCATGAATAATTTTATGTTTATACATTTATCAGGGAATAAAATGTAATATGTTATGTTTTTACGCTTGTTTTGTCACGGAATAAACCACATGGTATATCTTCTTGTTTTGTCCATTGTTTGCTTACATGTTAAATTTCATTGCGTAGGACTCAAAAACATGTAGAAATGTGATAAATTGTTTGTTTTTTTATACACCTGTAACGGAATAAACCATATTTTTATGCTACTTAAATTATATTGTTCTATAAATTAAGGAATCCATGCCTTGAAGTGGTACAGGTATATCCAAGTGAGTTTACAATATCATTCGAACAGTGAATGAATCTCTGTACATACATGATTTTATTTCCTGTTTACTATATCAGATCTAATTCAAATTGAATACCATAACAAAAATCGAAAAAAAACACGCTTTCACGTTTACTACTTAACAATAGGAACAATGACCGAATGCATGAATAGTGTTCACCTTATTGCTATGGTTCAGTTATACTCAGTAAGGCCTTTGTAAAAATCTTCCCTCGTTTATTCGCACCGGTGCTAATAAGTATACCTCTATTTTCATCCATTAAATACTTTTCTCACAATGAATATCCACCAAATAAACCAGTTTAGCTTGAACATGGAAAGATCGTCTGTATATATATATACACCTGTTATTCGCACCGGTGCGAATAATTTTCACACTATATTCATTCATTAAATGTATTTTAGAGTGTCTCCCCCCAAAAATATCCAAGCCCCATTTTTTTATATTCTCTCCCCCAAAGAAACCCTTTTCCCGGGAATACTTCCCTTTCCTGGGCATTTTAGCTTGAAATCTGGAACTTCCTCTGTATGTATATACTCCTGTTATTCGCACCGGTGCGAATAATTTTCACACTATATTCATTCATTAAATGTATTTTAGAGTGTCTCCCCCCAAAAATATCCAAGCCCCATTTTTTTATATTCTCTCCCCCAAAGAAACCCTTTTCCCGGGAATACTTCCCTTTCCTGGGCATTTTAGCTTGAAATCTGGAACTTCGTCTGTATATATATACTCCTGTTATTCGCACCGGTGCAAATAATTTTCACACTATATCCATTCATTAAATGTATTTTAAGTGTCTCCCCCCAAAAATATCCAAGCCCCATTTTTTTTTATTCTCTCCCCCAAAGAAACCCTTTTCCCGGGAATTTTTCCCTTTCCTGGGCATTTTAGCTTGAAATCTGGAACTTCGTCTGTATATATATACTCCTGTTATTCGCACCGGTGCGAATAATTTTCACACTATATTCATTCATTAAATATATATAAATGAAAACGGAGAATGTTTTGGATTTCTTTAATTCATACATTTGTATTCTTTGAATTTTAAGAATAACAAAACACTTGATATTTGCATTTTTATTATATAAATGTTAGTAAGGAATGCATTTTCTCATTACTGTTATTAGTTTCACCTGAGATCTTATTTTTAATTTCGATCTTGACCTAAGATAAATGGATCGTACTGAGGTTTGTTTTAGTTTTATTTGCTATTTCTGCATCCAAGGAATGTTTTGACTTACGTCAACAACGTCAAATATTATTCACTCCGCGGAGCGAATAACAGGATAATGCCCCAAAATGACTGTTTGTCAATGCCTCTAAAAGTTTTAAATAATTTTAAGATCATTAACATCGACATCATTTTTATTAAAGTGGAAACACGCCTTTTCGAAACGAAAGTAGAATCACAATATCTATAATCGATATATTTATAAACAGAAATCAATTTAGGCATAATTTAAATAAAGTTTTAAATATTACAAAATATCAAAATGCAGACAAATTCTAGTTATAACATCATTTAAAACCGTACATGAAATAAATAACAATCATTGCCCCCAAGGTATTCTTGTTCACCTACCTTTTTGTTTCGTTCATTTTTGTCAGAACACAAGTATACTTTGCCAAAGGCTCCTTCTCCTAAAGTCTCCCCTAGTTCAAATTCATAATCACCTCCACTTGCCATCTTTTTACTTTAAGATCGAACAATCGTCATTCAATTCAATTTATTATCTACTTTCCATTTGTTAACGTTTCGAAGGACCTTCCTGCTTCTATAAATACATTTATGAGAAAACACTGAATCTTGAACCCGATGAAATAAAATCATCAAAACTATAAAATAGTACCAGATCATCCTTGACATGGTCGCTGGTAAATTTGATGTTATATCCACTTTCTTGAACCATTGATAGCGTTACTTGCTTGAAAAATGAAAACATTTTAATGAGTTTTTTTATTAATATTAATTTCATTTTCAAAAAAGGAATGCATTAGGGAACGTTGTCTTCATCACTAAAATTTTCAATCGGAACATCACTCGGCCTTTTCCGTCAAGTCTTGACGGAAAAGGCCGAGTGATGTTCCGATTGTAAAATTTTGAAAGGGGGTCCAGATTGAGAATAGTGCCCCCTATATTCACACATAGAATAAATTAAATACACACAAAAAAGGGGGGGTCCACTCCAGCTTTACATGTAGCAAGACTTGAAAATATTATTTTACTAAAAGACCAAAAAAAAACTGTAACTTTATGCACAAGCGTGTGTTGGGAGGGGTCCTTAAAATGGTGGTGGTGGGGGGGGGGGGGGGGCTTTTCCTCCTAATTTTTTAAATAGAAATTTAATTACTCTTAATTATGAAGGGATCTGAATTACCTTCGATCTGGACCTACGCATGACTTTTAAATCTTATTTCTTCAGGCCTAGACAATCTTCGCGACGAAGGATCAACTCATTACTACGCAACGCTAGAGCAAACGCTTTATAACCACTGTACCACGCGGGCGACGATATCGGTTTGAAGAACACAATTTTTCATTCACTTTTAGAATTGAATGCATAAAGGGGGGAAAAGAATAAGATAAAAGAAGCTATGCACGCTTCATTTATTAAGACCTTCTACTGATTCTGTTGGTAAAGATTATTATTCTCTTTTTTTCTTCTGCTTCCTAGACTGCAACTTTGAGGCCTCATATCTCACTCATTTCTCAACGGATTTTGCTCAAATTTTCAGAGGTTATAGACGTTTATAAACTCTATCAGAATACTGACTAAAATTTCAACTTCCGTTTTCAACGGAAGACCTTCTACTGATTCTGTTGGTAAAGATTATTAAGGTCTTCTGTCTTCAGCGGAAGACCTTATTGTTTTTCTTAGGTTTCTTTTCCACTATTTTTATTATTACTGTATTTTTTTCTTACTGATTTTGTACGCGCGATTTCTCGAGAACGGCTCGGTCGATTTTCATGAAACTTTCAGGTCTGATAGAACATCAACAAATCTAGATATACATATTTTTTATTTTTATGACGTCACTTCCGGTTCGGAGTTTTCTGCGATTTAGTGATTTTTAGAGGGTCACTTTCTCAAAAAGCACTTAATTAACACAGAAGCTTGAAATTTTCAGTGATGCTAGAGCAACTTTTGGAGAAGTGCACTAAGTATATCACAACTACCGGAAGTACGAAGCGCCGACGCTCGCTATGGCCCGAAAATAGTCCTATCAAGAATTTCAAAATTTTATGTACTTTTTCAACGATAACTTTTTACCTAGAAATATTTTATTAAAACATGTAGAACAAAAAAGGTGTAAAATTTCAAGATCTTTCAAATGACATCTGAAAAAAGGGCGGTCCCTTAAATCAGGGGCCTGGAGGGGCCGAAAGATTTTCCTTTATATCTCAAAAAGTATTGAGAATTTGTGATACGTCAAAGAAGCAAAATTGTTCAAAATGTCAAGCTTAATATATTGAAGTCAGTCAAAATACGTTTTTTCGTCACTTCCGGCCAAAAACGGAAGTAGTCGGGAAACGCGTATTTTTGCCGTTCTTGACAAGTTTTCTGGTAACATATGTCTCTGGGAGCATTATAATTAATTTTCCGTCCGTCGTCGTCACTTCCGGTCAAACCGGAAGTGACAGAAAATGGCTTATTTTTGCAATAATTAACATGGATTTAGAGGAATCAAACCGACTTTGGACGTTATTTCTCATTTCTGTTAAAAATGAAACCCACTTCCGGTCAAACATGATGGAAGACCTACTCGTTGCTTTGCAACGAGCTTTGTTCTAGTTATTCTTTTTTTTCTTCTGCTTCCTAGATACAACTTTGAGGCCTTTCATATCTCACTCATTTCTCAACGGATTTTGCTCAAATTTTCAGAGGTTATAGACGTTTATAAACTCTATCAGAATACTGAATAAAATTTCAAAAAGTCACTTCCGGTTTTGAGTTATTTCCCTTTAAACGAAAATTTATAGGCTTTCGTTTCCAGACAAAGGCTCAGAGACGGCTAAAGCTGGAGCAGATATTCTACTGATTTAAGATAATAAAAGGATTGAAGTTGTGCACGTCGGTTTTTGTCTTTCGATTTCTCTATTCAAAATGGCGCTATATAGGGGTCAAAAATTAGAACGCTTAAAAGAACCAAAAATTATTCATATTTTGCTTGTTATCTTCCAACCTAAAAATATTTTGTTAAAATATATAGAACCTAATTTGTGCAGAATTAGAAGATCTTTCAAATGATATCTCGGAAAAAGGACTGACCCCTAAATTAAAAATCTAAAAAGTTTTTTCCAGATATCTCAAAAAGTATTGAGAATTTGTTATACATCAAAGAAGCAAAGTTGTTGAAAATGTCAAGCTTAATCCAATGGAGTCGTCAAAATACGTCCAGCGTCGTCGCTTCCTGCCAAACCGGAAGTAGTAGGAAAATGCGTATTTTTGCCGTTTTTGACAAGTTTTTGGGAAACATATGTCTCTGGGAGCTTAAAAATTAATTTTTCGTGCGTCGTCGTCACTTCTGGTTAAACCGGAAGTAGCAAAAAATGGCTTATTTTTGCATTGATTAACATAGCTTTAGAGGATTCAAAGCATTTTTTGGGCGTTATTTCTCATTTTGTTAAAAATGAAAGCTACTTCCGGTCAAACAGGACGGAAGACCTACTCGTTGCTTTGCAAAGAGCTCGGCTCTAGTTTATTTATTTATTTTTAGCAATGCAACAAACAATATCAAGATAAATATTCAATATTAATTTTCCTCTTTAATCCACAGAGATTTAGAAACATACTGTGAATCATATACATTTATTATAAAGGATGATAAAAACAAGGATAACTTCTTAATATATTATTAATTTTTTGAGCTGGCGATTGTGGCCACGACTACATGATATGTACATGTATTACATATGTACTATAGTATATAGGGGACCAGGCAAAATTTATCACAATGATGGGACCAGTTCAAAACAAAATTCTCATTTCAAAAAAGTACTTTATGTATTCTTATGCTTATAGGCAAGCTCACCGCAGCTTGTTTTTGCTAATTTTGTGTAAGTCAGATCAAACACTTTCATAGAGATGAATAATGTCATTTATTAAAATGACGGTATAAATGTGAATAATTTAACAAACAAGAAGGGGATCAGATTCACAAGCTTTGATTAGCAGTTACGTAAATATGATAATGTCTGATCCCCCAAAACTGACTAGAAAAAGTATCTGTAAGACAAGACAATCAAAACATCATATGAAAAAATTAGCAAAAAGATGGCACATCAAAACAAAATAGGGCAAGACAAGACAATCAAAACATCATATGAAAAAGTTAGCAAAAAGATGGCACATCAAAACAAAATAGGCCAAGGATAGTAGTGAAACAAAATACATGTACATGAATATATATATATATATAAACAAATTCAATCAGAACCAATCAAATATATAATTTTACATGACACATTAATACTCATTTTAAGGGGTAGGAATGCAGGGGTGGAGGAGGGTCTTCAAAATAGACGTGCCTGATGTTAGCGTGGTCCACATGCGGGTTATCACAATACAACTGAATGACTCGCTGAGCTGACCACGTGACCTTACACTTATTAAATGTAATCCATCAACCAAGGCGTGGATCTAAGAATTTTCAAAATCTACCAAAATTAAACCTAACGGAAACCTCCAACTAAGTTATCGCATTCAATACATAAATACAATTATTATTCTAAAAATTGTTGTTTTATGTATTCTTATGCTTATAGGCAAGCTCACCGCAGCTTGTTTTTGCTAATTTTGTGTAAGTCAAATCAAACACTTTCATAGAGATGAATAATGTCATTTATTAAAATGAAGGTATAAATGTGAACAATTTAACAAACAAGAAGGGGATCAGATTCACAAGCTTTGATTAGCAGTTACGTAAAATATGATAATGTCTGATCCCCCTTTTTAACTGACTAGAAAAAAGTATCTGTAAGGCAAGACAATCAAAACATCATATGAAAAAATTAGCAAAAAGATGGCACATCAAAACAAAATAGGCCACAAGATGTGACATGCATGTCACATCCATGTTAGATGTGACAAAAAAGTACTTGTCCCATGACACTCGTATTAAAATAAATATCTGTCCCATGACTTATAAAAAAGTTATCGTCCCATGGTTACCCCAGATACATGTTGATTTAATGAGATTATTGCATCAAAAACTTAGGATCTTTTTCGGAATACAGACATTTTAAACATCGATATTGTTTTCTTAGTGTTCATTTTCATATTCCTTGTTAGCAATGCTTGTCACTTTGTAATATTTTCCATTAACTGAAGATTCCTGTTGCTCTTAGCCATCGTTTGAGTTTTAAAGATATGACTTTTTTAAAAAAGAATTCTTTCCTTTTTTGGATAAATAATAATATTTTTCAATTTAATGAATATTTCTCTTGGATAAAGTACTGTAAATTATTGGGAAAAAAGTTTATGTCCCATGGGTATTTAATGGTAAAAATGTTTTAGCCCCATGGTTTTCTTCGATGAAAAAACTCATTGTCCCATGCCTATTTGTACCGGTCCCATCATTGTGATAAATTTTGCCTGGTCCCTAGAGTGCTGTTTCTTTTTTATCTGAATGACCAATTAATGATCTAGTTTTCAGATTCCTGTTGAGTCCATTTTTATTAAATCTAATAAATTCAAAAGAACAATAAATGCAAAGAAAAAAATAAAAACGAAGAATCAATTGATGAAATAAGTCTATCTCGCACTTAGCTTGTTTATTATATCTGGAGGCAAGGCTGTCCATTGATATAAGATGTCGGATCGAGATAAAAATGAACTGTTAGAACCTACTTCAGAATAAAGCTCATGTATACTGCATTGATTGTTGTACAATGTAGGCATTAAATTTAATGGAAAATAAAATTCATGTTTCTGTACATGAATTTGAAAATTATCTTTACTGAAGTACAAAGAGGATATTCAATGTTTTGTAGTTGAATATGGATTTTATTTCACTCGTGGGACAGGATTTTTTTTGTTTTGTAAAAAATGAATATGGATTTTATTTCACTGTGGAACAGGATTTTTTTTATATTCCACGAGTGCGTCGCACTCGTGAAAATATCAAAAAGTCCTGTCTCACGAGTGAAATAAAATCCATATTCAACTATAAAAAATTGAAATTTCTGTTTATTACATTTTCTTTGATTTTCCTTTTTTTTTTTTTTTTTTTTTTTTTTTGCCTATTATAACAGCCCAAGGAATATTTTTACAACACTCTTCGTAATGGGAATTTAAATCGATCGAGAGTTTTACCGCATTTCTGATATTTGTCACACTGTGACAGGATATCATTTTGATATCCTTTCACACTGTGACGGGATATCACTTTTATTCAACGGATAAACTACAGTATTTCACTGTTGAAAATGTAATAAATGTATATCATTCAAAGGACTGACGGACAAATATTATCCAGGGTTGCATAAACATGTAAATATATAATGTATATAGTATTTACATTAAACTGCAAAATTATAATTATGTGTATGTACAATGAATATATTGAAACCAAGCAGCTATTGCAATTAAAATTATACTTCTGATGGTAAAATCAAGACTTAGTATTTGGGGAAAAAAATTACAACGACCTTTTTGAAAATATCCATAACCATTTCATCTTTGCTAACCACGAGTTTCTGATCCAGAAAGAGTAACCGATCAAAAACCTTAAGCTAGCGAAGATGAGCAACCCCCTTATCATAAATTAAAGCGAAAGATAACACTAATTACATCAGAATTTTAGATTTTTATTTAAATATACATATTTTAACATCTACTACACATATATAATTACACACTTTGGTACATATGCAGATATATACGAGGGCCGTTCAAAAATTACGCGGACTTGTTGCACAGGAAAAATATTTGACGATATAATCGGGCAAAATGTCACACATAATACAAAAGAATCTTTACTCATATGGTCTTCAAAATTTCATATCAAAATGTTGTAAATTGGTATCAATTTTGAGTGATTTTTCAGACATATCATTAAGTCACGGAGCAGCAAAATCTTCGACGTCACAGGCATTATAAAAAAAATAATATTATGTTATTGAGCTTTCATATTCTCAACATTTTCCCAAGAGTACCTGTACAGTTTGAGTTACCTTATCTACTCAACTTCTAAACACCATTTCTTGTCAAGCTTAAAATATATTAAACAGGTAAAGAATATTCTTTTTTGTTTTAAAACCAAAAACTTTATTTATGAGATATAGTGTGATATTTGTGACTCTCAATCACGTTCTTTACAGTCCGGATAAAGTTTTCGTTGATAATCTTCTTCCCGTCCTCCCGTATAACCTTTTTACAGAGGTCTTACGGTCTGAAATTTCAATTTGCTTTTTGTGGACGAATTCTTACCCTAGTTTTACTACATGTTTTATTATGCATATATTTTTGTCATGCTCCGTACCTCTCCATCAGCGATATCAACATACCTATGATTTTAGTAGAATTTGTATAAAATACAGAAATTTTGCCCAAAATTTATTGGAATCTTTAAGATACATATTTGTTTTAAATTTCATAACTATATGACGACTGTAAGAGTAAATAATAGCACAGTCCGCGTAATTTTTGAACGGCCCTCGTACGTACGTAAAAATACACATGAAGTATAGTGCGTAATGTTTCATTCATGGAGACTTTGCTGTCAAACTGTATCGCTCCAAACACCGCTTCATTCTAGTATGAAGCATGACCCATGTAGCCTTTTGAAATTTCTTGGACATGTAACATCTAGCATGTCTGGCATAACACAGCCCTGCGCGCTTCTTGGGCCATACACATGTTTTAGCATCACGAATGCATCCACTACTTTTCCGGCAGATCTGGGAAGAAATTTTCATTTTCATACATGTATACATTGTTTTTTTTTTTTGGTTTTTTTTTTCTAAAGCTAGTATTACTTATTGGTGTGTAAATTACTTATCACGTAGGCATTGTTCTTTTGATACTACCTGTATGTCACAGTCGTATCTCCCCGTCCTGAGGTTGATCTTCTGGTACCGTGACACACCACCCTCCCAGCACCCCGTCCAGTCACAACCATTAACGTCCAGGTCTCCTCGACTGTTCAACTTTCCTTCACAAATCAAACAATCAATTTTTTTCAATCGAATTTTTTTATATCATCACATTCAATTTTTAATTTTATGAAAAAAATGACGAATTGTAGTTCCATGCCATAATTTCCTGCAACAAATGAAAACAAGAGGCCCACGGGCCTTATGGGACACCTGAGTATCATGTAACAACTTTCCAACAAATGAATTTGGTTCGTACTTTATTATATAAACCAGAGACCATGAAATTCACTATTTTGAAAGAGGCACCATTGCTCATTATTACTATACACTTGGCAAGCTTACTTTGATTACAAGTGTACTTAATACCCAGAAACAGAGCAGAGGAACAAAGAAAATATGCATTTCCAGTTTTTCCACTATATTATCAGTAGTGCTCCACCCCACAGGAACCCCTGACCCTGGGGCCACACATTTCACAATTTTGGAAAAGACACTCTTGCTCATCATAAATGTTTGATCAATACCAACAAAAAGCAGATTTCAAAGCATTAATTCATTTCCAGTATTTAATCATTAGAGTCCCCCCACCCACCCCACCCAGACACCCCTTCCCAAGGGCCTTGAAATTCACAATTCTAGAAAAAGCACCCTTAGGTCAGCTCATCATAACTATGTACATGTACTTAGATCATAAGTTTAATACCCAGTAACAAAGGAGATTTTCAAAAACATAATGCATATTCACTATATACTCAATAGAGACCTGCCCTAACACCAGAACCCCTGACCCAGGGACCATGAAATTCATAATATTGGAAGAGGGAACTCTTTTCATCATACCTATGTACATATTTTATTGGTTTAATACCCAGGAGCAGAGGAGAAGATTTTCAAAGAATTAATGCATTTTCACTATTATAATCAATGTAGCCCACCCAAAACCCCTGACCGAAGGACCCTGAAATTCATAATTCTGGAAGAGGCAACACTCCTCATTATAAATATGTACATATTTCATTAGCTTAATACCCGACAGCAGAGGAGATTTTTCAAAGAATCAATGCATTTTCACTATATAATCATTAGAGCACTGCCTTAACCATGCTAACACAAGAACCCCTGACCCAGGGGCCATGAAATTCACAATTTTGATACAGGCAACCTTCGTCACCATAACTATGTACTTAGCTTGTTTTCATAATACCCAGGAACAGAGGAGAAGATTTTCAAAGAATTATTGCATTTTCACTAAATGATCATAAGAGCCCCGCCCTAATACCAGAACCCCTGACCCTGGGGCCATGAATTTCACAATTTTGGTAGACGGCTCAATGCATATGCTTATTATAATCAATTCAACAATTTGGCTGCTTGTCGTCCAGGAGTAAAGACGAAGATTTTTTAAAGATTGCATTAATTTTAGTGGTTTTTGCCCCACCCCTCCGGCCCCAGTGGGGTACAGGCCATGACCCAATAACTGGTATTGATAAAATATGGAGATAATGAACACTATATATGCACTAGTCAAGCTCAAAGTCGATTTAAACAATACAGATCGGGAGCAGAGCAAACTCGAACCATTATTAATACACCAGCGGTGGGATCAGGTGGCATAGAGGAGTGAACACAAACTGCCGACAGGACACACCCACCGTGTGTTCCTTGTCATGTTCAGGGGAAAAAAACAGAAAATTTCGTCTGTAAATGATGGCCTAACAAGTATATATAACTTCAGTCAGCATTTTACTCAAGGACAGAATGTATATTTGATACCAAGGACATTGTATCAACCAAAAAAAAAAAACTGGCGGAATGATGAATTCATAGAAGACTGTTGAGATACTTGTTTCATCAACTTGTTTTACAATAGCTTGTCTCGTCTTAGAAATTGTCCATAAAATTGTATGATGATTGACACGTACCAGATCCTCATGATTTACCGACTCAAACATTTTATATTAAATTCAAATAAAAATTGTCAACTCGCAAAATCTAAGTTTTCATCGAGAGAAAGGAAATATTGCAAATCCTAAGGAACAATTCAATAGCTATTCATGGTTAAGTCTACGTTAGTTATACCTGAAACCATACAAAGAGTAGAAATTTTTTCTCACCAGTTATAAGGTATGTTTTGTTGACAGTGAAAGAAGGTTGGCACCCGGATCCGTCATCATAAGTGTTGACTTTTAATTCTGTCTCTTTCGGAATCCCCTAAAAATGCAGGGCATACATGTTTTCAAAGTTATCCTCAAATGTCACAGTACTTAAAATGTCACATTTCGATGTTTCCTACTTCGACTATTTTGTTTAGTCTATATGCTTTACAGTATTCTATTTTAGACATGATGAGCTACAGAGAAGCAATCTTATTAAAATCAGATCCTTTGATCCGCGCACTTAGATTGCTACCTTGTGTAGCGATCAACGTGAGCGGATGCTTACTGACGTTTTTCATGCTGATTGTTACTCCATTATTTATATACTGAATTGACGACGGGTTTTTCCGTTATTTCACGATCATGACAAGGAGCACACGACGGATGTGACCGGTCAGCAAGGGATGCTCACCCCTCCATGGCATCTTATCCCACCTCTGATGTTTCAGAGGCCCGTGTTTGCTCTGCTCCTATTTTGTTTTGTTTTATGGACTTTGATATTGAATACTGTTCGTTATCTCCATATCCTTCATTAGAGACGATAAACCAGTAGGTTTTTCTCACGTGGCCAAAACATGTCACTGATTGGAATTTAAAAATATAGTTATTGTATTTTATAGATGTATTTTCATTAAGGAGCACAGATACTCGACGTAAAATAACTATCTTAAAAAACATAACAATTATACTGTATGGCGTGTGTATGTGTAAGGGAGTGCATTTATTCACTTTCAAATTTCCTGTTTAGTGTAAGTTCCTTTGAGCATTGTTAAAAAAAATCTGTAAATTTGTGACCGTTCGGCAGGAGACACACTCCCAAATGGCACCCGATCCCACCTCTGATCTTTTGGAGACCCGAGTTTGCTCTGCTCCTATTTCGTATTGTTTTATATACTTTTGAGATTGAATATCGTTTCGTTATCTCCATAAATTTCAAAATAAAATGAATACTACAAGTAATAAATGAAATAAATATACTTGTACTTACTAGAGCCTTGAACAATAGTCACATTCTTCCTATGTGAACTTTGTGAATCATACTCATTTTGTTCTAATATTAAAAACTATCCATAAATTGATATTTGACAAATAATCAAGAACGAGAAAACTTGTACATCGACTCCCAATTGATTTTTTAACTACTTGAATAGAAATGAAGCATCAATGCATTCTTGTCTGTTTTTCGTAAGTTTATTACATATTAATAAAATACTAATTGAATTTCTATAATTTCTAAAGATTTATATAACCCAAGAGCTTTAGTTAACGTATTTTGTGAGAAAATATACTAGTATAGGATTTCAAACATTTTCAATGATTTACTGAAACAAGTACTGAATTACTTACTCCTTTAAAAGACCTTTTGACGAGGAATGTGTTAGTTACTCTCTTTGTTGGTAAATAAGGCATTCCCGGCTGTAGGTCAGTATGGGAAGAGGTCATTCCTAGTTCTGGGTCAGTGGGGGGAGGGAATATTGCACTTCGTTTCTTCATGTGGTTCCAGATGGGATCCCTGATTATCACGGGCCGGATCCTTATAGAGGGGGCGGGCAATAAAGCATGCTTTCGAATTAAAATTCCCTTAAATGCTAAAAGAGAACAAACCTTTTTTATTCTAAAAGCAGAAAATAAATTTGAAATACAATGTATTTTTTTTTTAATTTTACTCACCTACATCAGCAGAACAAAACTTCTGCTGGGGATGAATTTCCTCACACCCACACATGTCCCTGCATCAGAGAAAACTTGAGATGTCATTAATTCACCTGTTTAAAATTTGCTTTTTAAAGTTAATTCTACATTCATTGATGTTTTATTTTTATGAGCCTTATACAAAAATTAATGATATTTTATTTTGAGTTTCAGTTATTATTATATATCAAGTAATTAAACCCCACACGAAATTTTACAAGACTTTATATTGAATAGGGTTACTTTCAAAACGGCATGAAACCCACTTGATGGAAAATAAACGAAATTTTATCAACATCAAAATACGTGCTTCTACATTAATATGATTTATGCACTTTACAAGGAATGTGATATTCAAATTTAACTACCGTTGCGATGAATATTATTATTAATTAAGGGATAGGAGATAAAAAATTCAAAAGTACAGATCTTTTACTTTGGATTACTTACACATTAGAAACCTCATCCACTGATAAACTTCCACATCTCATTATTATCAATCCAGTATACACCAAGAAGCGAAATATGCTCATTGTCCACATAACTGTTAGTATATCACTTACCTTTAAAAAATTATATGATGTACATATATATCAATTTCTAAAATCATAATTATTTCCTTTAAATCTGAAAAATATAAAGTTTTTTTTAAAGTTTAGTATTTTTGCAACAGACATTTTATAACAAATGTGTAAAGCCGTATTAATAATTGTATAAGTTACCTGGGAATAGGTTCTTTCTAATTTTCCTACTTTTATTATTCCTAGGTAAGTTTTATACGGTATTATATGTAGATAATTTACATATCCGATTTTGAAGGAAAGTCAAAATAAATTTCTTCATCGTGTCCTCCCACCTCGTGTCAGATTGATTAACTATTATCTTTCTATAATTATTTTACCATAATGTTTCTTTACAAGGAGAGTCTGTGTGGCCATATTCCATTATTTCATAATTAATGGCAACATGCCTTATCAAAAGGTATTTACTTCTGGTATATATTTTGAATGCTACATTATCAATTTTAAGATGAAGCTTCATTGCTTATTTTTTTTCTGTTAATAGTACCAGGTATTTGTGAAATATTTTAGGTTTTAAATGAAGTGTAATTTAATTGTGGACTCGGGATCACGAAATATCTTAAGTTGCATTCAAAAAACCTATGTAGAGATGGAATAAGTTTTAAATGCGGTAGCCCAAGATGAAAAAAATTCAATGAACATGTGATCAGTCTTATATATCATAACAATAAAATGAATTCAATTTATAGATTCATCGACGAAAAACTGAACATCAATTTAGGCAAGAAAACGTAATTTGGTAAGTTTAAATGAAACGTATATTTATCGGCACATAATCTCAATCTGTTGCATTGGCCCTGCCAGACAGCAATGACAAGAGGTGTGGTGATGCCTTGCTCAACACAATGACATGAAAAAAGCATTATAATATCCCTCATATTAAAAGATGTATTTTTTTTTTCAAACTTTTGTCACTTTTTTATTTTAATTGCTATTAATCAGCGTGGGACTCACCAAAGTTTTCCAATAAAAATCACAAGTATAATAGAGATTAAATAATGGCAAAGGAACGTCGTATTTTAATTATTAGTATAAATATAAGATTTTCGCTTCGGTTCTTAACTTTAGGAAGGTCTTGAACGTTCATGAAGGTATGTTACCAACTTGTAATAATTACTAGAAAGTAAAAAATAATATTATAAGTACAAGTATAGTATTATAAGTATAAGATGTTTGTAGCAATTAAAGTAAATCATTTACAAAAAGATGCAATTGTCGCAAAGATCGGTATTGAAAATTACTGTAAAAACATATTTTCGTAGGGTCAAATTTTCATCAGGTTTGAGGATAAACTCGCGAGTTTGTGAGGATTTAATTTCGTAAATAAGAAATTATTAAGTTTAGTTATGTATGTTACGTTTTACATTTCGTGCTTGACATGAAATTACGTGGATCTCTTCATACCTCGAAAACAACGAAAGTTACCCCCTACGAAGATTTGTGATTTCACAGAAAAGGCATGTTCTGACCAAATTTTATTTTCTAGTTGAAACGACAAGTTTGAATAAGACATCTTTGTCCTGTTTCAGATTATAAACTACGCGTCGAAGAAGACTGCATACTTAGTATTCTAGAAGATGTTACGAGCGGCTATTATTTTATTGACTGTCCACATTGTCTTCTCTCAGTAAGTAAAGAATATGGTATAAATTTCAATTTAAATGTTCAAACTTCGTCACAGAAAAGATGTGCCTCACCTGAAGGAAATAAAAGTAATTAACTCTCACTAAATTATGTTCATAAAGTCTGTTTCAGAAAAAAGACCTGATTTATATAGGGGCAATGCCAGACTGAAATTCATTAGCTACATAATTATAGCTCACTGCTTGAGAAAATTCGGACAGACAGAACAGAGAGCTAAAAATCCAAGCATTGTAAAACCTTCGATTTACACCACTTCGGGTATTATTTCTTTTATTCTATGCTTTTCCGCGCTTTAGAAATGTTATCCGATACCTTTCAATACATATAACTGTATTTTTAAAAACACGATCAACATGGATACCGAAATGGTCATATTTTTTAAAACTGACAATTCAAAGGCATAAAGGGCTGTTTTGGGCCGATTAAAGGTACATAAATTATCAAGAATAGTTGTTAGATACATGCTTAATTATTGGACATTATTCTTAAAGTGGGGAAAAGCTAAAAATAAATATCCCCGTGGGCTTGAAATACAGAGTCTGACACAGCTGTTTCATATTTTAATTTTTTGCTTACTAGAAAAATACAACTTACAATAGTTATCTTACTACGAAGCTTGATGACAAACGCGATAGCTTAACTTTATAATCCTCAACCCCCTTACTCAGCAATATACCTTCATCACTTGCATACGGATTTTAAATTTCTCGGTTGATTCGATACATAATTAAGAGCATGCTCTACCTACATGTATAAACAATTTTTTTAAACGAGGTAAGATATATTCTGACAACAACTTAATGAAGAGAATATCAGCAGTCTAGTTTAAAATCATCATTTCGTAAGTTCTATGGTCGATGCTATAACTTTGTCTGCAAATACAATTTATCATTAAGTCAAATGCTGACTGACGTTTTCATACTTATTTAGAATAGGCCACTATTTACCCACTGAATTGTTGACGGTTTTTTATATTCCTGAACATAACAAGTAGCACTAGGCCGGTGTGACCGGTCGATCGGCAGGGGATGCTCACTCCTCCATGACACCTGATCCAAACTCGGATGTTTTAGAGGTCCGTATTTTCTCTGCTCCAAATATTGTTTTATGGACTTTTGGGCTTGAATGCTGTTCGCTATCTCCATTTTTTTAAATAGTCTAGAAAAAGCCCCTATATAATCCGTATACAAATTAACGTTACGCAAACAGTTCATAACACCACATATTCACTTGCAACTGGCTGGATACTATATGTTTGAAGAGAATATTGTTTCGCAAATCTACCAAAATATTTAATGATTATTTTTTTGAAATTTACAATTCCTTTCACACAGTGAAAGCAAACACAGAAGTTATAGATAGTTGACCTTATTTTTCTACGACAGAAGTTTCTTTAATCAATGAAAATGGAATCGTCAGGTAGCCTTCAATTTCTTATTTATTTGAGTCCTGACTATATAATAAAACAATTATCGAGATGGTGAATATGGTTTGTTTGTCATCAAGAAAATGTTCAAATTGACCCCAGCTTCCCCTCAGTCAATACTAATAAATTTCTGATTAATAAATACTGATAAATTTCTGATCAATAACAAACCATATTCACCATTGCAAGAGACCATAATTGTATAGTTTTTCATGACAAATGTAAAATAAAGAAAGGGAGTAATATCTATTAATGAAGAAGATAAAAAATAATTGGATACCGTATTTGATATCAACGTGGGTGTTTGAAAATAAAATTATATAAAGCTTGATGCTTTTTTGGATTGTGTTAGACGCTAAGCATGAAAAAGTCTAAAAAAATGTATGCATAAACATGTATTTTAAGCTATACTTTTGCTATAATCATATAACCACACATTTTATTTTGTTTTTCTCAACAGGAATGACAAATGTTTGCCCAAGAAGTCTCTTCAAAGAAAGCTGTGTTCAGTCAAAATGTCACATTTTCATGGTAAAACAAAGTTATATTTTTTTTTTTTTTTAATTTTATGATGTTATTATAATGTATTTTAACGGAGTATCAACGTTGTATGATGTCACAAGTCCGAATAACCCGCTGTTTTCTCATCTGAAATAACATACATTCAATTGATAATTTAAACAGGATTCAACTCCATGTATATCGGATTTTGTAAACCAACTTTTATTCGAGAAGACTTTATTTCGCGATTTACCGGGGGCAAACTAGTTTGCGATGATTAATTTTCGCGATCAAGTCTTTTTATATCAGTTGTTGATAGACAAATGAGACGAAGGATGGGTCGAGAAACATTTGTTAAAAAACACTACATGTATTACCCGCTCAATAATGAAGTCACGCCCTCCAGCGTAAATTATGTATTGAAATTAAAATAACCAATTTTTAATAACTATCTGAATAATACATACGAAAGTACTCCAATAATTCATTCTTATATTAATTTGTGCAAAAAGTTCGATAGCAGTCTTAATTAGTAAGTTAAGGCATATTTTGTAATCCATTTTTCCTTCTCATCATTACATTTTCTCCATCTTACAGATTAGAAGCCCCTTGACAAAGGCTTATGAAAAATATTTTTCTAAATGTTGTTTACATTTACTGCAAATCTTTGAAAATTTGAGAAGGTCAAGATATATAAAATATCGTTTCCAAAAGAAAGGTTTTGACAATAAAAAACACATCAGCAAAGTGTGGAAGTATGTGAAATTCAAGCTCCGGCCAAAGTTATGGACAAAGTTACAAAACTACTAACCCGTAGACATAAAAATTCGCTATATTTTTTTTAATTACAGGTGCTTCAAATTTCCTTTTGTTTTTGAAGATGTGCTGAACATTCCTTTATTTCTCCTATTTCAATTACAGTCTTAAGAGTTAAGGTTCTTAGGGACCTTTCGTCAACCCCAGAGGAAAACCATAGGTATAAAGTTAGAGTCCTTCAAAGAATGAACAAAGTGAGTGTCAACTGGAATAAATACACGAACAGTTGCATTTATTTTTAACGTTAATACATTGTATGTCTATTTAATATTATGTTTTACTCGTTTTATAGATGACTGAGAAAGAAAGAAACTCAAAGAAATTAAATATGAGACCAATTATTCGTGCATTCTTTAAAAACCTTGCACCGAAGAAATTAAATATGAGACCAATTATTCGTGCATTCTTTAAAAACCCTGCACCGAAGAAATTAAATATGAGACCAATTATTCGTGCATTCTTTAAAAACCCTGCACCGAAGAAGATATTTCGAAATGTAGAAATTCCGAGAGAATGCATGCTTACTTTAAAAAAGAAATATATCCTAATAGGTACGTATACATTGCATCTACATCATGACGATGTCTTCTTTTTATAAAATGACTTATAAACACATCATAAAGACATATGGATTGTTATGAATTAGACGAGGGTGAAATATTTGGAGACAATGAACAGTTTTTTAGCTCAAAAGTCCATAAATCATAATACCATAATACAAAATAGGAGCAATGCAAACAGCAGGTGCCATTGTGGAGTGAGCATGCACTGCCGACCGGTCACATCCGCCCGTGTGCTCCTTGTCATAATCGGGAAATATGTCGGAAATTCAGTGTAAATTATAGTCTAATATATATAACTATTAAGGAAAGCTTCATTCAGCGTTTGAACTCAATGATAAATTGTATTTGCTGACAGGATCATCTATTTCAAATTGTTCAATTTATTACTTTTCATTTCCCTAAAAGCTCTCTTTCTTGGCAATCAAATTTGCGCTTCTTTTGGAATAAATTTCAAATTTCGGAAATGATAAAAGAAACCATTAAAGAAAATATGTCATTATTATTTTCTTAAGCAAATAAGAGAAAACAACTTAGATAAAAGTTTCCAACTCCAATAAATCAAATGAGGATTATATGCAAAATAAACAGAAAGATCTTTAGAATTTTAGTCAGTCTGAACTTCCCAAGAATACGTCATATTTAGCTTTAATACAGAACTTATAATAATATAAATATAATCTTCATTTTGTGCAGCCAAGTATGATCGGAATTCAGAAAACGTCCGGGTGGATTGTAACGATATACTGGATTGGGAATCACTTTCAGGATTTCAAAAGGGTCGATTACGTCGTGGAGGCTACAGTTGTGGTATAGAGGTATATAAATTTAAAATGTTCTCTAAACTGCTCAGATATTGATAGGACTGCTCAGATATTGATAGGAATTGCAATGATTAAATTTAAGATTGTGCCCATGAGAAAAGGGTGCTTATGGCATTTTCACTAAAAGAGAGAAATAACGCCATAAAGTTGTGACGTAAAATGTTGCAGATTGACGGAAAACGTCAACTTATATTTTTTTACCACGTGTTTACGTTTTTGGATTTCGCTTTTGTCTTAGGTCTGAAAATTGATAAAAAAAAACAATTGGATTTCATTCGAAACGCTTAACTGTTTATCATAAGCAAAATGCCTGGAATTATATTACTTCATTTTAATTACGCTTAGGTGCCATTTCACTTTTTGATAGTGCTCAGTAATATTCTTGGTACGGGCATGTTGTGCCCAATAATTGATCACTGATTGTTTATGAAAAAGACATTGTTTATAATTTTTATTTGAAAAGAAATATTTATGAAGGTCGTTTTTATTTGAAAAGAAATATTTATGAAGGTCGTAAAAATAATTTAAAGAATATTTTTCCATTATTACAATATAACTTGGTTGTGTATTTAGTTGTGTTCGGGGGGAGGGGGTGTTACTGAAATAAAGCTTTTAAAAAACTGCTGTTAAGCTCATATTAACTACATGCACATGTATAAATTTGTCATTTACCTATTTAACACCTACCGCAACCCACCCCACATCATCCCGAAATAATCACCATCGGAATATTGGGACTGACCCGACATTATTTCATGCTTGTGAGTTATGACTTATTTAATTAGCATGCATGTTTTATGAGTAAATGATAAAAAATCGTTTAATGTTGAGATTGAAAAAAAGGCTTATTGTTTCAATTTAGAATAGAGATTTTATTACCATATGCAAGACAGGGGTCTTTTCATATGTTTTTACAAATATTCTATAGAGTATTGTTTAATGTAATGTATGAACCGTGTATCATTAATAATTTATTTTACATTACTGGGTAGATTCTAGTTTATTGTCGTTACCGGAGACATTATCTAAAATGAAATGACTTTCTAAGTAATTCTGTAAATTTACAAAACAATTCTTGCCTGGGAGTGCACCTTTTGGGGTGTGAATTTTCTTTCGTCCCAACATGAGCGAAGTGTAAAATAAATAACTCGTATACCATGCATTGATCGATAATACTTATAACAACTATCTTGAAAATAATCTTTATATTCATAATAATATTAGTAACGTTTCAATAAAATTATAGTCAATGTTTGACATTGATGCAAACGTAACATGACATGATGATTTAACTGTTTAAAAAATGAATTATCACTAATATAAGCGATAAAAACATACTTAGAGTTGGAATAGAACCATAAAAATCATATTTGCAACTCTTAACCTTGTTCTAACAAAATTCATGAAAAACTCAAAATTGTAAAATTGCTATAAGCACCCTTTTCCCATGGGCGCAATCAATTTTTCATGATATTTCTACATTTTTTGCGATTACAAGAAAGAGTACCTGGACAAGGAGGTCTTGTGTCTTCTTGTAATGCTATGCTGAATTATAGGTCTCTTGCTGCATGTCTACATGTACGTCATATACATCCCCTGTTACACACCTTGAATTTAATGTAAGTTATGTACATAAAATGGAGATAACACACAGCATTAAAGCTTATAAAGGCATTAAAACAATACAAATCAAGAGCAATGCAAACCACCCACCTCTTAAACATTATGGGTTGCAGCAAGTGCCATGGTTGGATTGGGGAGGGGGGCCTGCCGAATGGTTATATATTTATGCTTGGAATACATGGGTATATCATATCATTAATGTATATTTAAAACAAAATATCGACGATCGAATATGGAACCCAACTTATGTTCTGGAAACAATATCAAAGAAATGATTCTTTTCTCTTGACTTGATAATAATAAAAAAAAACTTTTTTAAATTAGATATGCATCAATGATTGTGTGGATAACGAGGGATGTGCTTCTACCCATGTGCCGCTTGCTTGTAGAATGGAAAAGGAAGAAGAAAATTGCTATGACAAATATGCAGAGTGCAAACCTAATGTTGAAACATCGAGCGGGGATTGGGAAATGCAAGACAAAGTTTTCAGTTCATGCCAACAACTGGAAAATCCCATTCCGGTTTTTGTAGATCCTTCAGGTTCCGGAAATGGAACCGAGCCTACAGCGGTTCCGTGATGTTCATTATATTATAATAATTCCTTGGAAACATTACTTTCTTCAAACCGTTATAACACATTATATCATGTATTACGACCTCCCCTTTCATTGCTATATAATAACTGACAGTTGAGATTGTTCAATGAACTGGAAATTCTGTTGTGTTTTTCATTGTGATTCTTTGCAACAATAAAGAGAAAAATACGAGGGTTGTCCGTAAAGTTCGTGTCCAAATTGATGATTACTGACAAACATAGATAAAATATATCAAATGTTTATTTTCATTAAATTAATGTTTCCTTTTATAAATATGCAAATTTTAAACCAAAACAAAGCACAAATACCCCAGATAGTTATCTAAATATCCAACTGAGGTGCATAAAGCATAAAACAATGAACAAAAGAGATAAAACAGTTTTAATATGTATTTCCAATGCACATGAAAAATAAAAATTACTCCAAATTTGCCAAGCTTCCCGGCTCCCTTTACTATATTTTCTCGACTATTTACATTATTTATGGGTCTCTGTTAGTGTTTTTCCGATGTCTACGCAGAATTTTATCACACCTCTCTGCTCCACCTTTCCCGAAAACGTACCTTTTTCGAATGATATGCCGATCCTGTCTTAACAGATTCTAACCTCGATTTCTCAGACATTATTAAACTCTGAAAGTTCAAATTTTGCAGGTTTGAAATCATAACTTTTAGACAACCTCATAATGTAAATGCAATCCGACTTTCCGCAGAATTTTAGTGATTAATAATGAAGTCATAAATGTAATTATATAACTGAAATTGAATAAATGAAATTTTACATTTTGTACGTCACATTAAGTAAAGAATCAGCAATATGTTAATAATAAGTATCGATAAAACCATTTTTATTTAAATTTTAGTTTGTCCGAGCACTTTACGGACAGCCCTTGAAAAGTACATACAATTAAATGTAACTGTACTTTTAAAATTCGCAGAGTTGACATAATTTTTGCATTCATTTTGGAGGACAAATCCTTCAACAGTGCAAATGGTTAACGAATTTCCTCCGCACTTTATCTTTTATGGTTCTTTAGAAGAAGATGAAAATGTGAAAAGTTTACGACAGCGACGACGACGACAACAACGACAGCGACGACAGACAAATTATGATCAGAAAAGCTCACTTGATCCTTCGATCGGCTAAGTACATCTTTAATTTGTCCGCATGAACTAAAAGGAGAATATATTATAATTATTCCTTCGATGTAAATCATGATTAAGTTTACAATTATGCCTTAATTTCGTGTGAATTACATTTTATAAAATAGCGTATCCCATATAAAAAATTCGAAGAAGTCTACATGGTCTAAGAAAGAAGCAAGTATATTTTTTTATTTACTTATAGAAGTTGTACGTCTTACACATGTATGTTAGAATATTCCAGATAATGTATTTTTTAAGTTTCAGGTCTACATGTGGGGATGGTGTAGTTTTCCATGTTTCAAATATGCATCAATTCCATGGAATTTTGGAAATATTTATTTAAGGTAGGATTCTTCTCTAGTTTCTGACTAGATCAAATATTCAAAGTATATTTGCTTCTTTGTCTTATATATTTAGGTGTAAGAGATTTAAAAGACCATAATTTTCTTTCCTCGTCACAACTGTACAACTTTGAATAGAAATGGTAAACTGCGTTTGAAAACTAACAGGGACTATATTTTTGGCGGAATGGTGGCGTATGAAAATATCTTCTTTTTTGCCTCACAAAATTATCATAGAACATTGAATTTAGTTATAATTTTTACGCAATCAAAGACTAGATGAAATTTTCAAATGTAATTTAAATTAATAATAAGGGACTAAAGTTTCAAAATATATCAAATAAATAAGATTTTTCACACATACTAGAACTAAGTTGGCTTTTAAATGCTTCAAATCTAAGTACAGATTTGAGCCAAAAATCCTTAAAAAGTGTTATTTCTCTCTTAGCAAACGATCAAAACTTTTAGTTTTTGTATCATTTTGTACCTTTATGTGATAACTTTACTATATGTGAAAATAAGAAAAAGTTAAATATAGGAAGCATATAAAAATAACTAAATAAATATATATATCCTAAAAAATTAAGAAAAGTAGAGGAAATTCGGATTAGCAAATATCCATTTTATTTGGATTATCTATGTCAATTTGGTAATTATCATCTTATAGGCCCTATATGGTAGTATCTTTTTATGCTAAAAAGAAAAAAACGTTCAATCTTTTGAATTAAAAGTAGGGATCGCTTGATTGGAAACATTAATTTTTTTACTCTTAATGTCCAGAAAAAAGGTAGCGACCTTGACCTGACCTTGCTTCTAATATTAAATGGTCAACTTTAATCTCACTGATACCATCAATTAGTGGTATTGTCTTCTTGATTCTGTGAAAATTTCATTAATTTTTAAATACAAGAAATGTGAGAAGAATCCTACCTTAAGATCATCGGGAACATCATGATATTTACTTCCCCTTTGGTACCTTTTTCCATCCTCTGGTGCCTTTAGAGGCCCGATTTGCTCTGCTCCAAAGTTTCAATGGTGTTTTTTGAGTTTGGTTTCTGTTTATCATCATATTTTGAATAAAAGTCTAAAAATTTGTAAGATAGGAAATACTTGACAAAAATGGCCCTTTCATGAATTAGTTAATAGCTTTATCGACTTCCTGCTCGGTCGATATGCATTTTTGTGAAGTCGATACAATTATCTATAGATTGACCGAATGAAAGGGCTATATTTTTTATATTTTTCTTTAAGAAGAAATTCACATTATATTTAACAGAAATCAATTTACTTCATTTAAGAATAAACATGTTTTGTACCCGCGGAGCACACTTTACGGCAATGTAACGTTAAAACATAACGTCAAGAATTCAAAAAAAAACTATCGCTATACATTTCACACAAAATAACCCAATGCCAACTCATAAAATCCTTTTTCTAATAGTTGACATTCATTTTTTTTAAGAATTCCTCTCTCTGTGTAATTTCCTTTGTTAAGGTTTTAATTTCTTTTATTACTTAACTCTGCTTTCACAGGATAAGCAGCTCTGAAGCGCCCATGTCTTTGCTTGACGTTCCAACTTTTTTCAAGATTATGTTCAGATTTTTACAGTTAAACCGTTTCTTCAAAGATTGTCGTCGCCCGCATGGCTAGAGCGTCTGCTCTAGAGTCTCGAAGTAAGGAGTCAATCCTTACGTCGCGGGTTCAAATGCCATTGTGGGACGTGGAGACCGGTCCTTCGGATGAGACCGTATAAACCGAGGCCCCGTGTCGCAGTAGGTGCTGGCACGAAAAAGATCCCTCACTGCTCAAAGGTCCTGAGTGCTGAGCATGACAAAATTTGTAGCCCTCCACCGGCAAGTGATGGCGTCTCCATATGAGTAAAAAATTCTCGAGAGGGACGTTAAACAACATACAATCAATCAATTAAAGATTGTCCTCATCCGATACAGAGTCTCTGTCACTCAAATACTGCTTGTACTATTTGGACAGAGATTTACAACTCGCTTGTGACATATTTTCTTGATTCTTAGAGTTTTATTCAGGAATTTTCATGAGTAAAACACAAAATTGCACCGTTATTTGCTGCTCCGTGACGTTCTAAAACGGCATCGTTTTTGTCGTTTTCAATGAGGACTATACCTATCTTCTAAAGCTGATTCATTTTAACAGAGCAAATGTTACAATTCTTAAATTGAATTTCTAAGTTGTTTTTTCATTTGTATACTATTTTACAGAGAATATGACCACAGACGTTTAGTATATTGTTTGTAACTTTCTAAATTTTGACCTGCTCCGCGATCCGATTTCTGCATTTTTTAAATCTTAAAATGTTTTGAATAAATCAAAATATTTAGTAAAATTTATACAAATTATTTGGAATTATTGTTAAAATATTTCTACCAAATTTGGATAAAATATGACGTCAAATATTAAAAAAAGAAATGACAGAAGTCCATGAATTTTTCGAACAACCCTCGTATGTTTTAATAACTAATATTTATAACACACCCCGTGCATTTATGTCGAAATGCATAATTGAATAAGAATGAGTAATCCTTCTGCACTATTACTGAAGGTGACTTTGAGTTAAAGTAGCTGGAAAGAAAAAAAGTCGAACATCGGTAAGGTTTTAATGCAAATCAGATTACGGAGAGGACATGCACTTTAAAATAGTACAGAAAGCTTAATGAGGGTTTTGGATTTTACTTTTATTGATTTGATTTGGCAAATTGTTATACATGCACTTTCTAAGGGATGTTTGTAAATATTGGTGATATTTGGTTTGTTTTTCCTTGAAAAAATGAAGGATGTGATGTAATGATATTTTCTCTTTAAAAACCTTGCTTCCAGAAATAAGCTTTGAGAATTTTTATTCTCACGGGGAGGAGGTGGGGGGTTGCAAAGTGGGAATTATTCTTATTCTTCTTTAAGATAAAATTCTGGTTCATTGAACCCCTTTTACATTTGTGTCCAAGTGTTTCCTGTAGTTATGCACTTAAAATTCAAAATTTGAATTTCAAGAATGAGGGTTAGAAGTGTCTAAAAGCAAATTTTGTTATCTAAAAAAATGTCTTGCTTCCATCTCGTTAACAAAACTTGAAAATGAGTGTATTGAGATGTAAATACTTTAGTGATGTCAACGTTAACGAGTACCCGGTTTACCGACGCGGGTACTCGATCGAACATCCAAGTATAGAATACTAAAATCGGCACTTGGTTACTCGGATGTATATTTTGAATATTTCTAAGCTTATTTATGCATGCATTAAACATCTTTAAAACGTAATTACACAATCTATACAGTAATTATAGTGTCAAAACACCTGATACCTAGCTTTTCTCATTTTCGGCTGTCTTAATACCTTATTTTTGGTTTGCTTTAATGATTTGTTTTCATTAAACATTGTTTATAGTCTGTTATGTTTAAATGAAATATATAACATACACTAGAGAAATTGATCAGACTTAAAACATGCCGCCACCCACTTCAAAAGTCTGGAAATATTTTTTTTAAAAACTCAAGATTCAAAATACG